GCTCGCATTTTACTCTTTACCTACTTATATATTGTTTGAGGGGTCGGAGCTAAAAGAGGGGCATGGTTGATTCCCATATGGTGACAGGTAAAGACCTGAGTCGCGGTTAAGATTGTTTGGTTGTTTATAGATTTCTATAAATTCTCGGATTTGTCGTTGATAGAAGAATTGATTACATGCAAGAATTTTAGTTTTATCGAATAAAATTTTATGTCCGGTTTCGTGATTGTCTTGGGCAACTGCTGGTGAGTTTATTTGTCTTAGTCTTAATGCTCTTTCATGTTGTTTGAGCCTAGTTGCTATTTTTCGTCTGGTCTCTCCAATGTATTCTTTGCCGCGTATGCATATAATACTGTAAACTCCTGGCACCTCAAATGGACGGATCGAAGAAGTTAAGAGATTTTTGAAGAAGTGGTTTTGATATTATATTTCTTTAGAACTTTTGATATGTGGTCAGTGATGTTTTGAATGTAAGAAAGGACCCCAGTGGCAAGTGTAGGATTGCTATTGCTATTGGAAGGTTGTGGTGAAGTGTGTTTTGTGATGGAACGCTGTGCCTTACATTCCATCACAAAATACACTTCACCACAACCTTCCAGTAGCAATGAGGCCGACAACAATCCTACACTTGCCACTGTGGTCCTTCCTTACATTCAAAACATCACTGACCACATATCAAAAATTCTAAAGATATATAAAGTCAAAACCAGATTTACCACTTGTCCAAAAATCTCTCAACATCATCGATCCGTTAAAGACAAAATTCCATATGAGATGCGAGGAGCATATGCGGCAAAAAATACATTGGAGAAACCGGACGAAAAATATCAACTAGGCTCAAAGAACATGAAAGAGCCTTAAGACTAAGACAAATTAAAATTAATTCATCGGCCGAATACAATCACGAAACCGCACATAAAATTATATTGGATAAAACTAAAATTCTTGCATACAATCAATTTTTCTACCAACGAAAAATCCGAGAGTCTATAGAAAACTATAAAGAACCTAACAATCTTAACCTCGACTCAGCTCTTTACCTGTCACCAATATAGGAATCAGAAATCCGTTTATGCCCCTCATTTACCTGCGCCCTCAAACAGTATATAAGCAGGTACAGAGCAAAACACGAGCCAGTATCAGTCAAGCCCTGAAGAAGCCACAGGATGATTGGCGAAACGTCAGCGAGTTCAACTCAGCAAACAACCGACGCACGAGGGATCCGGAAGTTTTGTAAAAAGTATTACAGTATGTGGAAGTTTCTTTGCAAAAAAATCAATTGTCATCAAAAATACGTAAGAGGAGACAAATCATGAAGAGTAAGAGATCCGCTATTTAAGCGTTCTTTTTTTTTATTGAATTAAAAAGAAAAGTGTAACCTAATAATAGAATTGTACACACAAGTTTGTTTTTAAAAAAGCTTGGAGTTTTATGAATAATAATGTTTTTTCTTTTTAATATTTATTAATGTATTTCTGAAAACGGGCCTAATGAAAGTCGTACAGAGAATCCATCATTAGCGGGGTGACCCATTTTGTATATTTTATCACACACGGCAATAGCACTTTTATCTTTTTATTCAAAAATTAAAATGGTCATTGTTATAACGTTTAATTCAATTTGAATTTATCAATTGTCGACATGAAAATGACTTCAAGTCCAGTAAAAACCAGATTTTTTTTTGTTACATTTTTACGTAAGGTATTACGGGAGGGGTAGGAAAATTCCAGGATAAGCTTTCAAAACTTGAAACTTGCCAATCATATCTACATCATACAAATTCATATACTGTCTTCAGCTTGATTTTTAGTGACATTTCAGCTCACTTTGCTTTTTCGAGATATGTATATATTAAATGTATTTACAGTTTTGGATATTGCTGTTTTTCTGCCAGCAGTGAATTCGGCACAATTTGGTAGCCCCCTACTTCCAGGTAAATAATATTTTAACTGAATTTTATAATTGCAGGAATATCAGGTATTACTTCCTTGCTGCCCTAAACACCTATGTCATTCACTTAAGGCGGTTTCCTGGTAAGTCCCGTATTAAATGCTAATTATGAGTTTCAACTTTAACGCGCGATATACATTCCCCCTCCTCCTCCGCATCCCATCCAATTGTTTTGAAATTATTTCAAAATGTTTAACAAAATGTAAATTGCTAAGAGTATTTCTGGCAATAGATTGTTGTTGCGAAATTTCCTTTTGTGATCTTCACAGTTTTGACGCCAAAGTATCGTTTATGTACTTGGATATATTATGTTTGTGTAAAATCTATTTTCTAGGTAGCGGAAAGTTTTAATTAAATGTTGTTTACACAACCCTATGGATTTTCTCATTCCTGTTCGCTCTACGCTGCATCGCCGGTTACCCTGATTGCAATATTGTTAAATTATAGTCAGTTTGTCTCCGTACGTGTGGAAAATATCTAAAAAGAAATCCTAAATAAATAAAGCAATATAGGGAGATAAAAAAACTGAAACATGAAAATTAAGCCTCAACTTGTATTGGTCCCATATAGAGCAACATGTGTGTCGCTGTCGATGGTTATCGAAACATTAAAATGATTTTTAAACGGAGAAAAATATGATATTCAAAATGACTGTACTATCGTTGTCAAGGTGAAAAGTTCGGTATTAGTTTGAACATAATTTGTAGAATATATTTTCATTCCTTCTATTGCTATCATTTTTTAAAGTAATTGTCTTTATTCTGAGAAGCTGGGACTGTTCCCACTTCATACTTTCTGAGTATTTATTATCGTTTTCAGTTATTATAAAGTCATATTGACTTAAATAATAATGATAATAATAAAGGCCTTTATTCGATTTCGAAGGAGATAGCTTACAAAATATATAACTGTGGGGACGGCATCCAACATAGTTGCTTTCATGCAACCCCGTAAAACGAGCATATGGCACTGCACTAAAACAAAATATAGCAAAATGGTAGAATTAAATTGTGAAAGAAAATTTTTTTTTATTAACTTTAACACTGCTAGAGAGAATTCAAAAAAGAAATACATATATACAATTTCACTGCTACTAATTTTATGATCGGTGTCCAATATGATAATTGTATTGTTTAAGTTTTTGTTTGAATGAAGTTAGTGAGGTGATTGATCTCAGTTTTAGAGGGAGTTTGTTGTAAGCCTTCATAGCATTATACGTGAAATTGCGCTGGAACTGTGCTCAAGTATGTTTGGGAACGGTAAACAGCCCCCTATGGCGAGTATTAACCGAATTAACATCTGATCCAGGAGTAAGTTTGTCAAAAAGATACGTCGGACGTTGGAGAGATACTACTTTTTTAATTAAGACTAAAAGCTGCGATTTAAAACGTTCGTCTAACGCTGGCCAGCGAGAATCCTCTAGGCTAGTAGATATGTGATCAAATTTACGAATGTTGTATGAGAATCTGAGACATGCATTCTGAAGACGCTGAAATAGGGCAGGCCAGTATACTACCATACAGTATGAAATGGAGGAGAGAATTAAGGAATCAGTTTTAACTTAATTACTGTGGCCAGAATATCTTTATTACAGTAGAGAATCCGAAGCTTGTAAAACGATTTCTGGATCAATGAGATTATTATCCAAATGCAGACCCAGATTTTTTGCATTCGGCAACCGGCCGTAAGAGAAGGTCCTATAATAAATAAAAATATTTTGTACATTAAGCAAGTGATATATATTTACCTGTTAACCCGCAAGCTAGTTATTTGCGTTTAAAAAAATTACATTTCCAAACTTTTTTTTTATTAGCAACAAACGTGTAATCATTTTCGCGATCGGGATTGAATCGAGTGTTGCTGGAAATGCGATATATATATTTTTCTGCTACTACTAGCCGGATGTTTTGCATACGTTGCTACCGATTATAAAATTCGATCAAAAATCAGTTTTTAATTGGACAGCATTTTAATAGAGGCGGATCGCGTATTGCCGAACGTTCAGATGTAATGTATTTCGTTTCGGCATTAATATGTATGCCATATCGCGTGCTTATTAAAAATAAAAACTAGTTCGAAAAAGCGTTAATGTTACTAACAGATTTAGAACCTTACTCTTTAGAAGATTTTTTTTCTGTACTTCTTAATTACTTATTTATTAATAGATTGTAAGTAAATGAGATTTGTAATAGAATCTAGTATCTTTTCCTATTTTAACGCCGATTTCCTTTGTATTGGATATGTTATTTTTATGTAATGTATTTGTAACATATTGTGAAATAAAGTTTATTATTATTATTATTATTGTTATTATTATTATTGTTATTATTATTATTATTATTATTATTATTATTATTATTAAATTAGATTATTAAAACGAAACAAGTTAACTCTACAAGTTCGAGACTAATTTACTGGTACAATAGCGATCTAAGTTGCCTGCATGATAAGCTCTTACATGTAAAGGCCATGGCCAAAGCGTCTGGCAGCCCGGATCATTGGCAGGAGTATAGAAATTTAAATAAACGCTATAAAAAAGAAGTTCAGTCGACAAAAGCTACAGCTTATGGTCAGTTTGTAAACAACTCTGACAATATTGGTCGGAGCTGCTGGAAACTTATTAACAGTGAGAAAAATCTTAATCGCTGTTGTACCAATTGCAGTATTACTCCCAATGATTTCAACTTATATATTTCTCAGGTGGCATCGAATATTACTGCCAAAATAAATAAAACAAATAAATGATCCAATGCTCTATATGAGAAGGCAATCAAGTCGCACGAGGTCGTTTTTCCTGGATCCGGTTTCCAGTGAATTAGTCTATAGCACAATTCTACATTTGAGTAAGTCTAATTCTTTAGACGTCTACAACCTAAATGCAAAAACAAACCGCAACTTTTTTAGCTGACCCTATAGCTCATCTAATTAACCAGATGTTTAAAACTAGAATATTTCCAGAACAGTTAAAAATAAGCAGGATTGTGCCACTACACGAGAATTGAGATACCAACGTCCCCTCAAATTATAGACCTATTGCAATCATCCTTATAATGGGTAAGATCGTCGAAATAATCTTAAAAGATCGTTTGCTGAACAATTTTGAAAAACACAAACTTTTGTGCAAAGAACAGTACTGGTTTTGGGGCGGAAGGTCCACCACGCATGCTTTGCTAAGTCTTGTGGGGAGCATTGTCGAGGGCTTTGACGCTGGTGAAATAGCGGAGGCCACCTTTTGCTATCTCTCGAAGGCTTTTGATTGTGTGGATCATGGAGTGCTGATGCAGAAGCTCGAGTGGTATGCCTCACATATTATTGCGCTCTTACCTTAGCGGTAGCCTTCAGTGTGTCGAAGTGAATGGAAAATTCAGTAGTTCTGGCTTGCCGGTATCGTTTGGAGTGCCGCAGGGCTCGGTGCTCGGGCCCCTGCTGTTTATACTTTACATCAACGATTTGCCTTCCCACATACCATGTAAAACTACGCTCTAAGCGGATGATACAATTGTTTTATCACGAGCTAGGAACCCATATGAACTTAGTATTGATAGTGTGGCCAATAAGACTAGAGCGCGTGGTTGGTGCGGGTCGAACTCTTAACTTACTTAAACTTAACTACAGTTAACCGAAAATAAAACGAACAATCTTATTTTCTCTTGTAGCCAGGTGCACAATTTAAACAATGCTCCGGTTAAGGTACTTGGAGTCTGGATCAATCGTACTCTTTCTTGGAAAGATCACATTGAACACCATTGCCACAAACTGTCAAGTCAATTGTTTCTAATTAGATACTTAAACAAGTCAATCATTCCTATCATGTCAAGACTTGCTTATTTCGGATTGTTCCATTCTCACTTAGCGTACGCTATTGTTTTGTGGGGTGGTTCCGTGCATGCCCGCAAGGCTTTTCTTGTGCAAAAAAGAGCGATATGTGTGATTGTGAATGCAAAACCTCGTGATCAATGCCGTCCGCTCTTCTCAAAGCTTAATATTTTGACCTTACCATCACTATTTATTTACTATACAGTCACTCGCATACATGAGCTAAAGAACGATATGCCTAAGCACTGTGATCGCCACAATCACTACATCAGGGGATCTGAATTAATTGTCCAGGACCATTCTAGTCTGCGCACATCCGAGTTAAATAAATTGTATATTAATTACTACAATGTTCTGCCAATCGTTGTCATGGATCCGCCATTCACTAAATTTTGTAAGATAATAAAACAATTTCTATTGGAGAACGCATTCTGTACTGCAGGTGAGTACATCCGTGAGAGCGTCAAGCGCGCCTCCAAAATACTAATTGGGAAATTATTTTTTACTAATTCTTGTTTCAATGTTTAATGTTTGTCTACCTGATAATTATGTTGCTCTCTATGAATGTTATTAGAATGTGTTTGGTATTGTGTTAATTTATTTTCATTCTGAGATGTGACTTGCCATTTCTTGTTCTTGTAATGTATTTAATGGCCAATAGAATCTAAAGTCTAATGTATATTATTATTATTATTATTATTATTATTATTACTATAATTATTATTATTTTTATTATGAATATTATTATTTTATTTTTATTTTTATTTTATTTTTACAGCATCGACTTCTAGACCATTAGGTGATTCCTTTGTATTTTATCAGATTTCCAGGGTTCAGTATATAGGGGTGGTGGGTAACATCGATAATGATTAATTATAAAACTAGGATCTTAATAGGTTTAGTGCTAGCTTGTGAGAGTCGTTGTTGCAGTCCGGTCTAGATGCGGTTAACTATGCCAATTTATCTAATAAATTCAAGTGTTTTTGCCGTTTCAGTTTGGTTGGCAGATAGACATCTTCTTAAGTTATTCGGCATTTTCAGTTTTAGGCGGAGGCTTAAGTAGTGAGGGCATTCGGTCATAATATGTTTCACTGTTAACTTAATTCCAGGACAGTAATCACAGGTTGAGGGTGGAGTTCCTCACAGGAGGTACATTGAAGTAATATTTGTATGGCCAATTCTCAGTCTTGTCATTATAGATTGTTCCATCCTAGTCAGGAATTTTATTATTATTATTATCATTATTCAGTATTTGCCCTTGATACAGAATTTTATAAATAATAAATTTGAAATAAATTTCCATGACCTGTTAGGGTTTGTCGAATGGGAATTAAAAGGGTTCTTGCACCATCATAATTATTCTGAAAACATTAAATTACGTGCTCTGTATTTCGCGATCGGTTTGGCGGCACGGCCCTTAAAATGCGAATCATCCGAAAATACGATATTTTCTCAATCTTCAATACTCCAATTTTCATGCTCCAAACACATATTTAAGCGGTCAGCTAATTTTTGCGTTGAAAGTTCTGGAATCCTTGACTGTCTTTTGCTAAATAATTAATAATATTTAATTTTATCTGCTAGCAATTTTTTGGAATATTTAAAATTTGCAATATTTAAAATTTATTATTTAATGTGTTAAACCTCCTGTCTACAGGATGTCCATTTTTCGATACTTTTATAGGTTGCTCAAATAACCATTGTTATCATAACACAGTTACATTTTCGTATCTTCAAATCGGCAATAAGCTGCCAAATTTCAAACAAATCCATCACAAGATATTTGAATTAATTTAAAAGAATAATAATAAAAATAAAGTTAACATCTGTATCTTGGAAATAATGCATTTTCGGACCTACATTTATGACAACTTTTTTCATAAATGGTAAAATTTCAAAGCGGGAAGGAAATTTTATATGAAATCTTCTGGGGAATTTTAAGTTGATAGTTGTTTTAATGGGCAAAGCGTTTGTAACGTGATTAATAATTATTAAATAAAACACTGAAATATACGCTTTACACAGTATCTATCCCCCGTTTCATCTATAGGATTTGTCCATCTATCATTGGGCATTTGGTTTACCCAACGTGAGAAAAAAAAATAAAATTTGGCTTCCGTAAAAGAGCTTTGTGAAAAGTAATTCTTTTACTCTGCGCGAGGTGTTTCTCTGGCCATTATCCCCGTCGGTCCCGATAAAAAATTTATTCTCATATATTTTTCATTGTTCAAAAAATGTGTTTGGCTTGGACAAGTTGAATTTTTTATTTTGGCTTTTTTGCTTGTTTTGATAAATTATCTTACTTAGAGAGAAGAATGATACGTTAAGGGATATAACAAAAAAGTATTACGTTCCTTCGCACGGAATCCGTATAAATTACCGTTCGTCAAGTTTAATAAAATCCGATCGCCGATTTTCTGAACACACGCCCCCTCGCCCGTCCCACCCTGGGCGAATGGTAAACTCCTTCGATTTTAGTGGATCATTATTGTTTATCTGATGTTCGTAACCGAAGAAGAAAAATTATAAGTTGTGAGAAAAAAATCAAGACGGTCCGAAATATTCTATAAATTACATGAAGGTGTATATGATTATTTTTATGAAGTTTGCTAACTAGAAAAAAAACTTTTAAAAGTATTCTTTGACTCTATTTGCACCTTATTAGGTTTTTTTCAACAGCCTTACTGACTTTTATTGCAGTGTTTGTCGTTCTGGTTTCGTTTGAATTCAAAAGTACCATGTTTCTTCAAATGGCATCCACCTTCGTGAAATTTGAACTTGTTTGACAATTGACAATATTTTTTTGAATGTTTATCTTTAGCGATTAAAATGTTATTTGTTAGGAATAGGTAAAATTTGCGCTTTTCCGTGTAGGAAGCCTTATAGCTTGTGACGTGATCTTATAATGTGTTGTTTTTACCAAGCATTGGCCACGATTCGTTATCTCGTTTCCGTTTCTTCCGTTTCGGTTTATTTTTTGCGTTCATCGAGTTGTATGTTTAAGGAGTGTTTTGTCGCTTCGATATACGAATCGTCGCATTCAGAAGGTGTCGACAAAATATACTCTTTCTTTTGATTAAGATTTTTTGGGTTTCAAGAACTGAGACATGAAAAGGCAAACTACTTTCTGCCACCAAAATAAAAAAAAATGCTTCATTGTTTATGGTTTTAAAAACCTTTTTTTTATTTTTATTATCATTAAGGTTATTATTATTATTATTAATATTATTATTGTTATTTTCATTATTGTTATTAATATTATTATTATTATATTATTATTGTTATTGGAGCACACCACAGAAATAAACTTCTAATGTGGTCCCAGAATTGAGAAATAAAAAATTAATTTAATTCTCACACTCACTCACACTCGCAAAATTAATAAAAATTTACTATAGGCCGCGTTATTTAAAGTTTACAGAAAAATATACCGATAGAAAGGAAATTCTAATATATATTTGAATTTTTAAAAACGGGTTATTAGTATTAGCTTAATTAACCTGAATATTGAGTAGCGGTCATGCTAGGTTCTCTAAACGAGTTTCGGTCTCTCTTACAATTCTGGGGCTCGTATACATAGCCGATATTAAACAAACATTGCTTGCCCTGGGGAAGTTGAAATTTTAATAAAAATATGCTGCCGATAAAAATCTTTTGGTATTAACAAAATTTATTAAATCTAGCAGACAATTTTATATAGGTATTAAAACAGTAGAATTTAACATTTCGTTATTTTGTAACCTAATTATTTGAACGATTTTTGATATTTTTCGAAAGATTTCTGCGGTAATAGAGAATTATAATTTGCGCATTTCGGTGAATTGTGGCTAGTTCTTGGCGAAATGAAATTTGTCTCGGAAATTTGCCATGGTGCTCTTATTTTTTGAAATACCTTGTGATTTTACAAATTTTTCGAAATAGCGAAAACTGATAGAAATGTTTGTCGGTGGCATTGTCAATTTGTATTAAATTCATTTCTCTTTTTACCAATTAAGACCGCAAGCTCTATATGAGCATTCCAGTAATATATTAAACATTCCTTAGAATTAAGCAATCTAAAAATTACATTTAAAAAGAACCAGTCATATAAGTGAAATCTTATTTCGACCGTTAAAGTTAAAATGGAAGAGCGTTATACTACATATTAGTTATTAAATTTGTTGGTCTCGGATAGTACCTAGAATATTATTTTTTATCAGTTTTTGTTTTCAGGAAAAAGACGGTTGGACTACTTCATGCAATGTTTTTAAAGAAAAACGCCTTTTTCCGAAAGGATCATTAGGTATTCTTTTATGCGTCCATGCTTTTTATGGTATTCCTGTTATTTTTTTATTTCCATTTTGTTCTGAGTTTAATAATAATCTTGATATCGTTTTTAAACTACGAAGGCGGTATTTGATAAGCCAAATATGGAAATATTTTTTTAAACAAGAATATCTTTAATGGTTTTTTACTGAACAAGATTTCGGTAATGGTAATTAAGTTATGAACATAATAATTATATGTTAATTCCATTTTATTTTGAGTTCAATAGTAAATTTAATAACTTTTTTTTTCTCTTTGAAACTACAAACCAAACATGTAAAAATCCTAGACAAATTTAAATTGTTTTTATAGAACAACGTAATTTTCCAAACTCATTTTTTTATCAGGAAATAAGATAGATCTTTTTGAACATCGGTATTTCTTTGGTCAGAAAATAGCCAATATTGAGCTTGCAGCTTCTGAAACAGCCTGTATAATGGCGATGCGTTGAAAAAACTTGAAGTACCGAAATAAAAAATTAAAACCTGTTGAAATTCGAGACCGCATTGCGAACACGTTACGTTGTGTTAAAAATGTCAAATATTAAAAAATACTGGGAACGCTATATGGTTTTTAAAATTTCAAATGTTTGTAGGTTAGCTAGAATAACTAGAATATAATAATAGTAATAATAAATTATTCTTGCAACACGCTCCCAAGCTATGGCAGTCATGTCGTCGGACACCGTGTATATTACGTACCTCAAAAAATCACGATTTCGTAGTAGCAACTCGATAGATGGGCAACAGGCAAGCCCCGCCCTTAGACCGCTATAGATTAGCACTCGTTTATGTAATAGTTTTGACGCCCTAATTTCAATTAAAGGATTAAATTAAATTAAATAATTTTTTAAAGTTTTTTTTTTATTTGCTTGCAAAAAGAAAACAATGAAATTAATTCAATGGAATACACAGTTGCACCTTTGAAGTCATGGGCGATCTTTTCGTGCCTGAAAGGTGTGTCGTACATTTCTTTATAATTAGTTTTTTGCACGTTGGAAAATCGAAAAATATTGACGTTTAATCAGCCACAGCGTCTTGTTTATACGTTTGCTTCGTTTATTTGTTTTAATTCGGTGCTGATAAAAATAGGCGCAATATTTTCAAAACGTTTTTCCCCATCTGTCGACAACTCGAGTCAGTTAACCGAGGTTTTAGCTTTTTTTCGTAACACGGGAAGCTTGTATTTAAAAAGTGGAAATAAAGCAATGAAAAATGCTCCAATTCGTTTCGCTGTTCCGCGCGACAACAGATTTCGTTACACGATTTTTGAATCGCGTTTTTCGCAAATTCCATTCGCACGTGCCACGTCCCCGTTTGTTCTTTTTTTTTTGGTTAATCTAGCAGCTTCAAGTCGCCGGATTCTTCCATTAATGCAAATTAGAAAAATATTATGTTTAAGAATTGGTTAAAAATTCACTTTCGATTTTTTGTTTTGTGTAACAGAGATTGTTTTTAATTTTTTTAGTTATTTTCATAAGTATTTACTAATCATTCTTGTTAAAATATAGAAATAATGTTCATGTGTGTCGGCTCTGCTCAGAACTTAATATCATTAACTTAAGGGCAAGTCGTTGAAACTCTGTTATGCAAGTCTGCATCCTTTAGTAGGTACTGATGATCTTAGTAAAACATTAAGGCAATAGATTCCAGATCTATTGGGATGCGCGTCAGTATTTTTTTTTAGGTCTTGTTATACAGTGTATTCAATATAAACCATTGGAAATACTGAGTGAGTTACTTAGAGGAACTTCGCAAAATGATTCCAACGTAAATCGTTTCTGTAAAATGCAAGAAAATATAAATAGTTGGATTTTGTATTTTTGTCTGTTTAGGACAAAATACGGCAACTTTGATCTAGGGATTATTATTACATTATAAGGACAATATGAGACACAAGAAAAAACATAAATGCTCTTTCAAATACAAATCATATATATTTAATTTTAATAACAACAATAATTATGATGATGATAATAACAGTAACAACACTAAAAATAATTGATTATTTATTAGAAAAAAGGTAGGTACCTATCAAATTAAACTCGTGCGTGCGCCATGACAGAAGGAAGAGAAGACAGAAAAAATGTAAATTAAAAGTACGAAATGTCACGACTGCTTGATAAGTAAAGTGCATTAAAAAAGCAAGGAACACTTCTCATTGACATACTTATAAAATAAAGAAAATTATAGATATGCTATTAAGCTCTTATGTATTACATAATTTTGAAAAGTGCAGAATAAGCCTTATAGAATTTTTAAAAGACATACAACATGATCTTTAAAAAAAATCTCAAAATTAGTTTATATACTAAAGTTTCTAAGTTTCAAGATAGCTAGTACATTTCTACTTGTACCATATTAATAAGAGTAAATGAGACACACTTTATATGAGAAAAATTCATTAGAGTACCATTCATACACAGATGATGTGGCGATAATGTTAAATCTTATCCATCGTTAGACGTTAACTTTTTACTGCATAACTTTAGAGGGCAGAAATGTCGATCCGTGGCTAGTTAACTTTATAGACCGTTTTGGACTTTTTATTTGATTTCAATACTTTAATATATCAACGATGAGGAATTACATTGCTCTTTTGACATCTAGGATTTAAATTTAATATCCGACGCTAAAATCGTTTTCCAACCAACATCATTTGACGGCAAGCGGGTAGGAAAAATGTAATTTAAATTTTATTTGAATATTTATGTTAGTTATATCTCAAACAAGTATACAAACTATTTTTAATGCAGCAAAACTAAGTTCATCAAATTTGGAGCTTTGAGGTTTGCGTAAGCGAGAAATGGTCATTGTTTGCGCCAAGTTATCAAGAGTCCATATTTTATGAAATTTTCTGACCGCTTTTAAACTATTTTGTGCCGATACGCAGAGTGTATATTCATAGTAATAATAGGATTGGAACTAATCTTTATTTTCCTGGTTGCTTCACGTAAAATGAACCATACAGTGCCCGTACGCATTGATTTTGTTTCAACGTCAGTGTGTTTTTCTAGTTAAATCTGGCAGAAAACGAGCCTGTTTTTCTTTTTCAGATTTAAAGATGTCGGACAAAATTTTTGACAATTTATATTTACCCGCGATAACTAGAGAATTCGGCAATTTTGACGCGAATCATGATCACGAACACGTAACAAATAATGAGAGCGTACTCCAAGATATCCATATTCAACCAATAGAACCTACGGGACAACCAATTTTACTTCCCGATTATCTAAGCGCATTCAATGAACCGACGCCACCTGTATCTACCAATTATCCGAGCATAGCCAATGAACCTGCGGTACCTTTATCTATCGATGATCCGAGCACATCCAAGGACGCGACGCTAAATTTACCTATCGATTATCTGAGCATATTCGATGAAGAGACTCAACCTGTACCTACCGATTATCCGAGCATAGTCGATGAAGAGACTCAATCTGTACCTACCGATTATCCGAGCATATTCGATGAAGAGACTCAACCTGTACCTACCGATTGTCCGAGCATATTCGATGAAGGAATTCAACCTGTACCTACCGATTATCCGAGCATATTCGATGAAGAGACTCAACCTGTACCTACCGATTGTCCGAGCATATTCGATGAAGAAATTCAACCTGTACCTACCAATTATCCGAGCATAGCCAATGAACCTGCGGTACCTTTATCTATCGATGATCCGAGCACATCCAAGGACGCGACGCTAAATGTACCTATAGATTATCTGAGCATATTCGATGAAGAGACTCAACCTGTACCTACCGATTATCCGAGCATAGTCGATGAAGAGACTCAATCTGTACCTACCGATTATCCGAGCATATTCGATGAAGAGACTCAACCTGCACCTACCGATTGTCCGAGCATATTCGATGAAGGAATTCAACCTGTACCTACCGATTATCCGAGCATATTCGATGAAGAGACTCAACCTGTACCTACCGATTGTCCGAGCATATTCGATGAAGGAATTCAACCTGTACCAACCGATTATCCGAGCATATTCGATGAAGACACTCAACCTGTACCTACCGATTTTCCGAGCATATTCGATGAGGACGCTCAACCTGTAGCTACCGATTATCCAAGCATATTCGATGAAGAGACTCAGCCTGTACCTACCGATTTTCCGAGCATATTCGATGAAGACGCTCAACCTGTACCTACCGATTATCCGAGCATATTCGATGAAGACGCTCAACCTGTACCTACCGATTTTCCGAGCATATTCGATGAAGACGCTCAACCTGTACCTACCGATTTTCCGAGCATATTCGATGAAGACGCTCAACCTGTACCTACCGATTTTCCGAGCATATTCGATGAAGACGTTCAAACCTGTACCTACCGATTATCCGCGCATATTCAATGAAGAGACTCAGCCTGTACCTACCGATTTTCCGAGCATATTCTGTAAAGAGACGCAACCTGTACCTGCGGATTATCCTAGTATATTCACTAAACCGTCGGTACCTGTATCTACCTTTTATCCGAGAATATTCAATGAACGGACGGCGCCTGTATCTACCGATTATCCGATCATATTCAATGAACCGACACTACCTGTATCTACCTATTATCAGAGAATAATCAATGAACCGACGGTACCTGTATCTACCTATTATCCGAGCATATTCAATGGACCGGCGGTACCTGTACCTACCGATTATCGTACAATAGGCAATGAACCAACGGTACCTGTATCTACCTATTATCCGAGCATATTCAATGGACCGACGGTACCTGTACCTACCGATTATCGGACAATATTCAATGAACTGGCGGTACCTGTATGTACCGATTATCCGAGCATATTCAATGAACCGGCGGTACCTGTACCTACCGATTATCCGACAGTATTCAATGAACCGACGGTACCTGTATCTACTGATAATCAGAGCATATTCAAATATCCGACTTTACCTGTATCTACCTATTATCCTAGAATATTCAGTGAACCGACGGTATTTGTATCTAAAGTTTATCCGAGGATATTCCATGAACCGGCGGTACCTGTATCTACCCATTATCCCAACATATTCAATGAACCGACGGTACCTGTATCTGCCGATTATCCGAACATATTCATTGAATCGACGGTATCTACATATAAGCAAGCAATTACTTATAAATCTTCCATGAGACCATATTTGCCGTACCAAAATTTTAATAATTCGCCTCTTTCTCAATACAAACAATATCAATCGATGGTTATGCCTGAAACATATCTGACTCCGTTTAGTGCTCAACCCGTGTTATTCAATGTACACCGTCCGATTCTTTCCGATTATATGAATCAGCCACAATATTATTGCAACCTGAAACCCCCTGCCCATCCGCCGTTTCCACAATTCCCTTCACCATTTACTATGGGATATATTCAACATACCACTTCCACCTACACGACTTGGTCTGCAAATTACTCTTCAATTTATGACGGAGGGCTTAACTATCAACCATTCACTTATCCGTACTAGCAAAAAATTTTTTAACTGTTCTCGTTTGACATTCATCAATATTTTTGATTTTCGTTCTCAATACTCATTTTAATGAGCCATATTTTATGTTTTTTTTCCAAAATGTCTACTATTTTCGCGAACCACGAGGCAAATGAATATATTATACTGTGTTCGGTGGTTGCATTGCCTATGAAAATGGGGTCGATTTGGTGATTTCATTTAGCACGGTCTCCTGAATCAGTATTCATTGGAAAGATATCGCCAAGAACGATCGAACGCTTATTCGCCGAAAGTAAATGTATAAAATAACTATTAATTAAAACTCTTCGGCTTTTGTAACTCGAAAATTAATTGTTTAGCTAGGAAACTGTTCCGGTATCTTGAAAATTCCCAAGCGACTTTCCATTCCACAATGCAATATGAAAGGAAAACAGTAAATTCACCTTTATATTGTTTGTTACAATTTTATATTTTTTAAGACCAAAAGGAGCAGATTTGATCTATTCAAAATATCTGGCTTGAATAATTTTAAGATTCTTTTTTATAGTTTTTTTATCAGTATTACTATTTTATGTTGCTGTATGGATTTGTATTAATTTTACGTTTATATGCATATAATTTTTTAACCAATAAGTTAGCTTCTATATTTATAGTTTTTATTATCTTCTTCTTCTCTTGGTCATTAGAATCTCCAACCCCATTTTCATAACAATCCTCAGAATTTTTTAAAATTTTGTTGCTTGAATAATTTTAAGAATTTTATATAGTTTTTTATTGTTTTTACTATTTTATATTGCTGTATGGATTTATCTTAACTTTAATAAATTGCTTTCTACGTAGCCTTGTTTTTTCGTCTGAATTTGGTTTAATTCTGATGCAATTTCTCACGCCGAACATACGATTTATCCGTCTTGACGTATTTAACTCTGCAGGATTTATTTCTAAGCAAAATTCCCAAGACAATGCGTTTAATTCGGGAAGAATTATTATGAGGCATTATTGAGCAAATCTTGCTCGCAACGGTTTTCGCTCGTTTTGAGTAACACGGTTTATAATAATGGAATTTTACGCCGGAGCGCGTAGCAGAAGAGTTGAAAATAATATACTGCGGCACTAACAGAATCCTCTAAACTTGGCCCCGCTCAGGAATTTCGCAACATGACTTCCAAACTAACAGGAAATTTACGGAACAGCCAGTCGTAGCGAATTACTTACGGTTTTCCGTTAAGTTCAACCCCTTTAATATTAAACCGGTCAATGATGGTTTTGGTGTGACAAAAATACTACGAGCGCACCCCAACGTGGGTGGCATTTTGGTTTTTACACATCAAAAACCTCAGTGGTTTAAAATTCCTTGTTGAAAATCAACATATACGCAGTAAATCCACGTTGGTACGGCCTGCGGGATAATTTTGGTTTTGGGGGGGGGGGGGGGGGGGGGAGAACAATATTTGAAAGCTTTATGAATGATTCCGATTAAAATTTTTCAAGTTTCAATAGAAAAAGCGCGCTGGAAAAGGTAACACTGAATTTGTGTTTTTTCCTTTTTATTTTTCGGTTCTTAATTATTCCATCTACATTTTGTATTCCTTTCCAACATTGAGATTGTTTCAGAAAATATATGGTTTTATACTTATACTTTATATACTATGCGGAGTCTACCTTTTTTTACCGAAAATTTGTTTATGAAACGTGATGTATGAAGATTTTATACAGTGTGTCCAGAATTTGAGATGTGACTTTCTTAAAACGTGAATAATAAGCAATAAAATATACTTATTCCTTGTCATTTCAAAGACATTAAAGAAGCAATATCTAATTCCGAAATTAATTCAATTGTTGATATCAAACTCCAACGAACAATACTCTTCTCGATCAAATATGCAACTTAATAATTGTTTGAACTTGATAATTGAATTAACTTTAAGTAGATTTTTCCATTCTTCGAATTGAATAATTTTTGTTTGTTAATTTTATTAAAAATGACAAGGTATAAAAAATGTGTTCAACTCTAAAAATTGTTATGAAATTTCTGAAATTTGGAACACGCGGTATAATGTTCGAAAAAAAAAACTTTCTCACGACGAGAAATACAAATATAATAGAATTTCTGGTAGCCTAGCCACTTAAATCCTGACTATTTAGCCATTAACAAATAATTAATAAGTATTCAAATATTATCTTAAACGGCGGCGTGTCCTTGTTTCCGTCTCACTTCTCTTCGTGCATAATAATCAAGAATGGCTTGATTTCCCCTGAGAGAATATACACCCCGGTCTATTGCAGAATTTAGGTTTCCACTTGAGCCACTAACTATGAAAATAAAATGAATCTCCTTTTGGTTACGTTGCGGATGGATTGTTAATTAATAATGAAATTTGTTTAACGATTCAAGGCGGATCCGGTTTATGGAGTTGCCTCCCTTTCTTCAGCTTTAATTTAGCATTTAGAGGAAGGGCAAAGGCGTTTCGGAATGTATCCGTCAATTTAGAATATCATTTCGGGGATATTCATTCGGAAACGAAACGTCCTCTTACGTAAGTGTGTTAATTAACTCTTCAATTAAGAACTATCGTCGAAAACCATCCATCCCTCTTGGAAACTGATGAGTCGGAGCGATACCGTCGTCTCCTATCTTATCCGGATGTTTCACCCACCCTTGTTAAAGGCAAAGCTCTATCTTTTAATCTCTAAGGCTCGAATGCAAACATTCGTTCGCTTCTTTACTCGGCTTCAATTAATTCGGTTGCTATCATTTATTTCTGTCGATTTTGATTTCCAATTCCAATGATGTAGTTTATAATAAGTATATCACTTCACTATCATATATTCGTCTGGAATTGTTGTACTGCCCGACACTCTGGCTCCACCTTCAGGCCGGAGGCGGAAACGGTGCGGCAATGCTTCGAAAGCTGATCTATAGGGGAGTCTGAATAAAAATACTACATATCTTTTTTTAGTAAAAACTAGCGAAACGCTTAAATATCTCCAAATCTGTTAAAGCTGAAGCTTTGACAGATTTGGATTAATAAAAAAAATTCTTAACATCCTCACAATTTTGAAGGTTTTCGTGCATATGGAACTTTAGGTGTATCAGTAAAAGGGTACCAGAATTCTAAATATCATCGCCATGTCTGACAATATTGCTGTTGGCATTTTTGAATTCTGCGTATTTAAAAACCCCGGGAATTAAATTTTATCGCTCCAGTTTTGGCAGTTTTGAAAATATTTACTTCTTACTAACCAAAACATACCTGTTGTCTTTATTAATCGTTTATTAATTATTTTTATAATTTTATATTTCTTATATCTGGCGACATTACTGATTAATATTTCTATATTTTTTCACACATTGATACTACGCTAAAGAAGAAAGGGGAATATTCTGGGAGATTTTCAAATAATGGTCAACTTTGGTTGCTAATGCCGTCTAAGCTTTAGCAGCAATCGTGTAATCGTGTGTAAAAACGCATGGAATTGATAACGTTTACAGCGAGTCAAGTAAATGTATGTGTCTACTGCGCCAGAGAATGTACCTACAGCTGTTTCTAATGCAAATTTCATTTTAAACAACATTTTTGGGTGACAAAATAAATAAGAACTAAAACTCCAGATTTTCACGACATTATATGACAACACACATAACAATTGTTTCGACAACGCCGTGTCTTTATCAAGTGTAATATTTACAAATTACCTGCTACTATATATATATATCGAAGGATGACAATAAAACCATAATTAATGTTGTGAGGATTTAAGTTCAATAAAGGAGAGGTATTTAAATATAATTGATCGTTAAGGAATACATTTGAATGTCTCATTTTGCTAATCTTCATGGCTTCCAATATATTTAATTTTCTACTTTTTGCGGCTGTATATAAAATATCAAAATTGTCGTCAAAAATGTGTTTTTCTGTGTTTAAGTGTGTAGCATAATTAGAATCTACACTATTGTTTTTAAACGCTATTTTATGTTCGTTAATGCATAAATTATAGGACAAGATCCGCATTTCAACCAGTAGACACCTGATTTTTGTGATTTTTGACCCTTCGTTTTATTGTGTTTTAAAAATTTTCCTATTGTGTTGTTAGTTCTGAAAGTTATTTTTAAACCACATAAATGTGTTTTGAAACTTTTTGACTGGGTTCTCGTATGTATGTAATTATTTTAAATTGTTCGTGCTCTGTATTAGGCTTCGGACAAATAGAGTTTACTGTTGTCTGGATTTGTTTTTTATTTATAATTTTCTCGATAATGCACGGATTGTAGCCGTTGTTCAGTGCAATTTGTTTAATGATATTAAGTTCTTTGTTGCAATTTTCCGTTGAGAATAGCGTATTAAGAAGTATGTGTATAAAAAAGTGAAATGCAGCCATTTTGTGTGTATAAGGGTGAATTGAGCTGTTATGTATGACTGTGTCCGTGTGTGAGGGTTTATATTAAATTAAAAAATCTAATTTGTTTTGCGTTTTCGTAATAGTTAAACCTAAAAAATTAATAGAGTTATCCTGTTCAATCTCGAAATGGAAATTCATACGATTATGTAATGAGTTAATATAATTTAAAAAAGAATTCAATTATCTGTTCGTTCCAACAAAGCAAGCAGACATCATCCACGTATCTATACCACCATGTAAAACTTTTACTTAAAGCGTGTTTTTGTATTATATTTTCCAAGTTATCCATAAAAGTCTCGGCTAGCACAGGACTAAGTGGGTTTCCCATAATCAAACCTTCCTTAGAGACATGACTGGTCTAATGGGCATATCTTGTTTATGTAATTTAACTAAAAAATATAATTTCGGCGGTGGTGGATTCATAATTGTTAATAAATACTTGTCTTCGTCACTAAATAGTATAGAGTTAGTAATTACTTCCTTGACTTGTCTTTGATATAACTCGGTAGGATCGTGTTTGATACATTGGAAAAGTTCTGGTCTGGCTCGTGTAAATATTATGTTATTTTCAGAAGCTTTGTTTTTGATACATTTTACTAGTGACATTTGAGAAATTAGTTGGTGTTTGTTGTTATCTATTAATTGAGAGTTTATTATATTCGCTAATGCATATTTGTTTAAATTGTAATCGTTAATGTCCTTAATTGCTAATTCACAGTCGATCCCTAAACAGTCTCATTCTCTATTAACGATCGAGTGCTGTAAGTTAAAGTTGAAACCTTTTTCCGGAAATGCAACTTCATTTTTAGAAAATGTTGTGTCTATTAAGTTTATGAATCTGTGTAAAATTTGTGGTCGGTATGCTTTGTAATAACTGGCTTGCTGTTAGATATGTTTGTATTAGAAATTAATTTGTCTAACTTTAGCTTTTGTCTAAGAAACTTTTTATTCTAATTATGCTACACACTTAAACACAGAAAACATCTTTGGCGACAATTTTGATATTTTACGTACCGCCACAAAAAGTAGAAAATTAAATTTATTGGACGCCATGGAGATTAACAAAATGAGACATTCAAATGTATTGCTTAACGTTCAATTAGATTTAAATAGCTCTCCATTATTAAACTTACATTCTCACAACAACATTAATTTGGGGTTTAATGTCATTTTTCAGTGTATATAGTAGCAGGTAGTTTGTAAATATTACATTTGATAAAGACACGGTGTTGTCGAAACAATTGTCATGTGAAAATATATAATTTCGTGAAAATATAAACTTTTAGTTCTTATTTATTTTGTTAAATGGATTTTCATCAAGTAAAAGCCACCTGAGTTCAATTTTCGGGCCCATATTTACCTAGTAGAATTGCTATAAAACCTGTATTTCGCCAGAAATGTATTAGGGATTTAAATAAAACAACGCACTCGTAGATAATGAGAGTTATATTAAAAATTTGTGGGGAACACTATAAAAAGATATGTGTACATATTGTCTTAGACGATAAATTTTCTAAATAGTAATGTACTCTTTAACAATCCATATGGTACATGAACACTGTCACAACAACCTCAGTTTCATTCAAACGTGAATTATTTGTTTCCTATAGTTTGACAGTGTTATGACTGGGTTATCCAGTTTCCCAAACCAGTTTTTGCAACAGTGTCATGTATTTCCTAAAATTAATTTAACATTTCTGTACACAAGAAGATCAAAATTTTTGGGTATGTAAGTTGTTCGTCTCTGGACGGAAAAACAAAACAATTTTATTATATATAAGAAATATTAATGAGACCCATATTTCTTGAGAAATTTTGTTTTTTTGGTTTACTATAATGACTATGTAAAACGATTTTGCGTTTTAAATTTGAGGAAATAATTAACATTTCAAGGAACATTAATTAAGCACATTGAAATTTTGAGCAGACGGACTACGTACACGTAGTTAATACGGTTATTATAATCAACATTGAGACATTAAAGTTAAATCCACTTATAATAAGCTCAAAACACTGAACATTGTATCAATACGTCAAAGTTGTTGTACACAACATTCAACGTTTAAAAAAGGTACTTCTAGTAGCGGAACTTCCCAAACGTTTTTACTTTGGAGAAGAATGTAGGTTTTTGACCAAAATACAAAGATAATAAATAATAACTAATGAATATTACACGTAGATATAGTTTTATCGATCATTTTCTCCACATCTACGAGGAATAAAACTTTTTTTTTTCAGTGCAGTTCAAGCATTTCTGTGTCATCGTGAAGTTTTTCAAATTGTTATAAAGAGCCAACATAAATTGAATTGGTAATGTCAAATTGAGATAGGTAGTTAAAAAAATATTTTCGTGCTTAATATCACCGAACTGTGTGCTTCTTGGAGGGACTTACGTGCTTTTTATTAAATTATTATATTACCGAACTTGTATTATATTTTTCACGAGACAAAAATAGAAGACATATTTTAAAATTAACAATATAATATTCATTTGATGCGTAATAACAACCCTAAATTGCATTTCAAACTTGCGTTTTTGACAAATATCACAAACGTTAATTTTGTTTTTTTTTTTGGTACGTTCTTTTAAAGTTTATTGTGGGAAAGGATATAACATTTGGTTCTTTGGCACAATTTTCAAAGTAATTATTGAAATATGTAAATTAAATTTTGGCACAGGTTCATAAGAGTTGTTGTTTTTCAGTAGTTTCTGCAACATCGAAATAAACCCATTTATATACACATATATAGAGCAAAAATTTGTTGAATATATTTGTGAACATGCAATTTTTAACATTTTCTGATATGACGTAACGTGTAGCAGTTGTTGAATGTTAAAATCAATCACAGATAATTGACGTATTTTTATAATATATATACAAAGACTTATTCTAAACTGTTATACTTTCTCTTATTAACACATATTTTTTTTAATATGCATATGTTAAAGTGGCGCGAAAACGTACAATTTCCTACGTGTTTTATTTATTTAAGTAATCACATTAAAATAGTTTTGTTTTTTATTTGGTTAATGATTGTTTAATAATTGGTGCAGAGAAATCCATATAGAGTATGTCTAGATATTACTATATAATTACTTTCATGTTTAAAGGTTAAGAAGTGAGCCCAAATTTAAAAATTACGTTTTAAAAGTTGAAATATACGACACTTAATAAGTATTTTAAAATAATAACTTCTATTCACCTCATTTTAGGCCTGGTGATCTGTTTGAAAAATCAGATATATTTTTCTTGAGGTTATTTAGAATTGCTACACATTATCCTTGTATGAAATATACAGAAATATGTACTTATATACATTGTCGAATGATTAAGAATATTTATTTCTCACTAGGTAGAAGAGATAGTTCGTTAAAATTTGAAAGTCTTTTATGTACATCTACCAAATTTCAAGACACATTTAAATGCAGAAATATACAAGGAACAACATTCAACAACATTCTGCTTCATATGTAACTAATTTGTCAAATTCATCTGTATTCGGTATCAGAATTATTTTATCTGCATTCTCAGATACCGATTGCCAACTTTTTGTTGTTGCGAAGGAATTCAAGCAACTTCTCTTACTATGAAACTATCCATCCAACAAAGCTAGAACGAAATGTTTGTTAGTTTTGGGTTCACGCCAGTGAAAACGGGCACCATACAAAACGAATTCGACCTGAAAAATCGATATTTGCCCACCTTGTTGTAATTATAATTGCTGTCGAAAGTAATTTAACATTTGCTAAGACTTGACTGAGTGACAAGCCGTGCAGATCGAGGTTCTAATTGTAGAGATATGCCATATAACTCTTCGTCGTCCATTAGCAGGGAAGTGTCTAACAAATAGTTGGACACTCTGGTTATCAAATCGATTTTATACGCTGTCTGCTGGAAATGTCGTATTTCCCTGATTACGTGGGCAATCTGAAAAGTAAGGAAAACTTTTGGGGTGTTTATATGTGTGCGCGTGTGTTCTTTTTTCTGGGCTTAGCAGCGACATTAAGGTTTAATGGTTATTTAAACAAATAGTTAGACGTGCAGCAAGTAGCACAGCATTATGATTAACTATGAAACATTCTATATGCAACCCACTGCCTTTTATAACGTCAGAAAAATACGCACAAAATAAACTATTTTCGACGGCCCAGAGTAAAACTGTGAAACTTCTGCTGCAAGGAATGGTACCAAGTAAATTGACCAAAGAAAATAATTTTCTGGTTCACTACGACAGTATTATTAGTATTTTCTTATATATGTGAACTCCTACCATCGGAAAAATTATTGTTGACTAAAAACGACCCAGTTTTTATATTTCCACCAACTTTTGGCTGCTCTTAAATCAGTAATCATTATTGTAGACATAGTTTTTTGGTTTACTATTGCTTGTTTACTTCATTTACAACAAATCTGCTTCCTGCCATTTATCAACATGGTTTTTGCGATCGCGACGCGGGAATTCTGTTGCATTGTTGTTTTTATAGGATACTATGGAAGGTAATCCTAACTGGTGGTGTTTGTTGAGGGTCTCAGAGTGCGACTGTAGTCTAATCGAAAGCGATAACGATAGGGAAAGAAACTAAGCCAAAGGAACCGTCCAGTAACTGTGCAATCGTTGATTTTTTGGAAGTTCGTTAAATATCCAAGTGCTGAAGCAAGAATTTATAGTTGTTACTTGGGTTATAGGATTACGTAGATGATGTTTTAGGTTATCTCTGTCGCTATCGCTTTGGTTTGAAGAGGCTTACCCCAGGTCTATGATAGCAGATAAACGTCGTACCAGTGTGAAGTCATAAATGTCCAAAAAATGGTTACAGCTTCACTGGTTAATTGATTCCCTCTCTCTTCTTTGAGTTAGGGGTCATAATTATTTGATACGGATTTTAGAAGTAATGGTCAATCAGTAACGGAACAGTTTTTAAAACTGTTTGTTAAACCATAGAAGAGGAATGTTTGAGAATTACAGAAAGCCCGTGCTTGGCTTTCCTTTAATTAACATTATGTTACCCCACGGTGAGAATGGGACGATTTTCGGAAATTTTTAATGTTTTCAGGCAGCTCGAAATTGGTTGTTTCATAAAAAAATCATAAACATATTTTGTGTTTTTAATAAACGATATTAATATAAAGAATAATAATAAAATTAGCCCCCGAATTTAATTAAATAATCTAGGAATACGTAACAAAATTTGAAGAAAGTTTAATTAATGTCATGGAGCTATTTTGATGCCAACAGAGAAATACAATAGTGTTTCGCACAGATATAATGAATATTTTATAGACTTTCTTGCGTTACCCTGTATAATTTTAAGTCTGTGCTGTTGTAGACTTTTCTTCAATTGGGTATTGTCGGAATACTTTTCGACGAAACATTTTCCACCCGTATAGTATAGAACCAAAACCTGGCAACAATTGCTAGTAACGAAGCAACAGGAAAAATTATAACGAAATTCGTATCGCGTTCCAGAAGACGATGGATCGCGAAAATCGACCAGGTCCTGGTGGTGATTTCCCGCCACACAAACCACGTGCTAGCGGCGACAGCGCCTCTGGTGCTAGCAGCCACAACGACACGGCTAACGAACGTTTCGGAGGTCCACCGCCACCAACTCGTCGTGGCGAACGCTCTGCAAGTGCCAGAGCTTACGAGGATCCGGCGGAAGACAAACCGAAACGCACCAGAAGCCAGTAAAAATTGGTTTCGGCCCTTTTCATTATTATAATTAATATGACTAAACTCACACCAGCCTACCGCATTTATTATCATTAAATGCTTTAGGAGCAATTGCGACCGATTTTTTAATACGGTTTTCGTATTATAAGGGCACCCAAAAATTCACAGTGATATTAATCTTACGAAACGTCACCATCAAGCGACCTTACGTTCCTTATCGAATTTTTGCGGTATCGTACCAGTGAACCACCATATTATTATTATCAGTGAACCGCATTATTTTGATATTAGTTATAAGTCATTTCCATTTTTCATAACCTATCTTTATCAGTCCAAAATATGTTTGGAAAATTGACCACACGCGAACAATTGCTCTGAAAACATTAGAAATAATTTTATTTTTGTTGCGTTCTTGCTAATGTTAATACATTCATTATGTAAAATTCCGGAAAACACTTTGCATTAGAAACACCATTCATTTGATTGAAAATTTGTCATCATCAATATCATCAATATTATATAATCTAGTTATTAATAACTTTCTCTATTTAGTTATTGTTTGCTCTCTTATTAATATTAGCGATGTAATTCCGGAATACACTTTACATTGGAAACACCATTCATTCGATTCAAAATTTGTCATTCCTCGTCAATATTATATAATATAATTATTAATAACTTTATTGTTTGCTTAGTAATGTCTTATTAATATTAGCGATATAAAATGTAGGCTTTTCGTATAATCTCAATTTTGTAATCAGCTTTGAAATAAAAATATCAAAGTGTAATCTTTTTTTTTCTCACCATCCTCATCTTTGAAAAATTTAATAGTCCTTCGTCCGTAAAATTAGGGGTCCCCTCTTCTATGAACGACAAATCCGTCAGGTACATGCCCAAATACGGTATGCAGGGTGGATCGCATCGATGTAAAGCATCCCTAAGCGATCTAAATCTTCCGTCCGATGAAACGATATTTTGCAACTTTTCTATAGTCTGCTTAGTCTGAAAATACGGAAACAATTTAGGATTAGGTGTCGTTTAGCTGTCAACTTACAGTTTTCGACACTTTTTCCCATGTTTTCTTTAAACGAAAAATTGAAGTGTTTGTGAACGCGGAACATATTTCCAATACACCATTGAAATTGTGCAAGCATCGGGCAATATCGGCGACGGCCGCCCATTTCTCAATTGTAGCTACTCTAGATGTCAAGGAAGAACGTCTGAGAATTTCAGAAGTCACCAATCTAGACACGTCGTTGAAACGTTTAGTCATCATTAGTATATGAGGGGCTTTCTTTTCCTTATCCCCTTTCATCCAAGCTTGCCCCAGAAATTCTCTAAAACATGACGTTTGTTATCGAGGCTTTCTTGAAGGGAAGAAAACGCTTACTCGCTGGCTATAGAAACAAAAATGTGATGCTCTATAAAAGTAAGTTGTTCTGCAATTTCCAAAGCCGATAAAGTTTCGATATTTTCCTGACTCGGTAGCTAAAACTTCAGCTTTATTAAACAATACGATATATTTGAAATGCGAGCCTACAGCAGGTGGCAGAAGAAGCTTCTGAAGGTCCAATCTGGGATTCTCCACTTCTTCTTTAGTTAGAAGTCGAAGAAGTTGAGCAGCCGCTTTGTGTTCGGCGGGCAACAAATTAGGACTGTATACGATATCCTCCAAGAATTCAATCGTCAAGGCTTTTAGACGCAAGTCGTTTTCAAAATCCTGACTGTGCTTAGATATCCAATGCCTGCAAGTAATCTCATAATTAATATTTCGCGTTAGAAGTTGTAAAACCTCAAACGTGAAGCATGTTAAACTTTAAGGTCACCTCAAAACGTTGAGCACTCTCATCGTCGCAGCAGTAGACATGACACTTTCTTTGTGCCTAGCTCTCTCCGCTTGTTCATCTCTAACTTCGTGTAAATTAGTAATATCTCGAGGATTACTAGAGCCTGAAGTAGCTATAGCAAATGCCGTTGCGGAAGTCGATGTGCTACTTCTTCGTTTAGATTGCCTGAATGATGTGATAACAACACCCACTTTGCTGATTTTGTGCGGGGAGTCGTGCTGGAAGCTGGACCGCGTGAGGGAAGATTCGCCATCTTGCATTGATCGCCGCGCGCTGTAGTAGCTCTGGAAAAAGTACTAAACAATAGCCTTAGAATGGGAGTTCGGTTTGAAATACTTCTCACTTGTAAGACGCCGCTAGTGGTCGAAGTAGATATACTTGCCGATCTAGAAGATCCGCAAGAAGATCTATGTATATGACTGTAAGGATAAGCGGGTTTTTCTTCAACCGGCTCCTCACTTTCAACCGAGACGCTTCTTTTGGTTTGGATTTTATGTTTCCTTTCCGAAGCCGGAGAAGTTCCCCGTTTGATAACTCTCTTCTTATCGTCGCTTTTCTTCTTTTCTTCCCTCGGTTTTGTGGCGCTTGCGTCAAAAGACGATCGCTTCTTTTCTTCTGGTTTTTTTCTGTCTTCCGGTTTCAGTTCCGTTTCTTTGAGTATCGTTTTCGGTGGAGATTTTGTAGCTGCTGAAGTTGTTGCCGTATCGGAACCCACATCAGATGGCGATGGGGATGAAGCAACCAAAGTGGTTGAACTAACATTTGACCCTGCAGCGCTCAATACTGTTACGTCTACAAAATTCACATGAATTTAGTGTTTTTTGCTATGACAACACCTAGCTTAGTTCATTAAGTTAATTTTTTAGAGACGATATTTCATTTTTCTATTATTAGGAATTTGAAACTCGTGAAGTTAATACTTCTTCATTTTAAGCGATTAGCGATATTGTCAAGGATGTTGGTAGAAAATGTTTCAAAAAATAGTTTCGTATGGTACTTCTTTTACACCATTTAAGATAGACTTAGTTGTTTTATTAATATAGCTGTTACTAAGCTAATTTAATTTGTTTGAAAATTGTTGGATTCCAAGAAAGTAATGTTCCTTCATTCATAAAAGATTGTGGCCTATCATAGAGGCTATATTAGTTATAGATATATAGTTAGGCATACCTGTTAGAGTTTCGCTGCTACTAGATGTATGCACTTTAGGAATACTAAGATGGTTTGAGCCACCTTCTGCTTGCGTATCGTCTGCAGTTTCGACTCTAATTGCGATTGTTTTTTTAGTTACCGGTCCCGGTTGCGTTGGGCTTGCTTGAGACTTGGTTTTTTCCGTCTCTTGCATTTCTTCGTCATCTGAAATGTTAAAACGTAAAATCATCCTAATTGTCAGTTTAGGGAGTCCTAGGTTACATTTTGGTAATGACGCTTTCCATTGTCTGTGACCTTGGGAATCATAACTAAGTGATCTATCTCTCTCGCTGGCTTCAGAACCATAACCTGAAACGGAGCTAGCACCACTAGTTCTTCTAGGTGTAAACAAACTACTTCTCCTCCTACTATCATCGAACAGTTGAAGAGTATTTTCGTCCTTGGGTTGATATCCTTCCAAAGAAATCACAGAACCTTGTCTTTCGTGGTCCACGTTTGTACTATAAAAAACTTTTTTCAAGCCTTCAAGTACGACCACTCCGTCGGTAAATACTCTATACGTTAGAAGGAACGTATTCAAAAAATCTATCGACAAGAATCTCAGATCTGAAAACGAAAGGGTTGAGTTTTTGTGACGATCCAAATCAGAACTTGTACCTGAGGAACATTGCTGAGAAAGTGGGGTTGCATGCAACACAACACATGAGCGAAATATAAAAATGAACGGTGAAAACACAGTGCTATTTAAAAAATTGTCGGTTTCATTTACCGGTTAAGCGTTGAAGAAGTCTTTCGGGAGTGGCATATCGTATTTGAGGGACTTTGCAAGAGTTTAGCGTTCTGCAAAATCTAATATCGGCTTCGTCCTTAAATAACTTTGGATCGTTTTTTATCGAATGGGGTAAACTTATCGAGCTACTATCTGTCATTTGAGGTCTTATCAAATCGTTAAACTGGACGTTGTCTAAACTTTGACTTATATCCGAAATCCATGCCGCTTTTTCTTGGATCGTTGCTGCCGCCAGATGAACGCACATCTGAAATCAAATAATATATACGTCACTACTACATAAAACAATCAATTGGATTTATGAGGGTCGCCCTAAATATTTCCAGACGGGTTACTTCGATTTCGAATCAATTCTGCTTCATTGATCTAGAAGCGTGCAGGGAGTTTTATTCGGATTAAAGCCCTTTAAACGGTTAAGCTCTCAGCGTACAGATGTCGCCGTTATCGTTTCACCAAACATTTAAAAGCCAATACTACGGTGTTTTCTGTAACCGTCCGTATAATGAGAATTTTGGTTAATTTCCAGTTTTGTCGACGGTTTGGTTTTTGGTTTTAATATGGTAAAAGCGTTTCAAAATGCGCGCTTGTGGCAAACGTGCGGCATAAGGAGACGTTACGATGTAACCCGCCTTATAGGACCGTAGCAGTTTTATTTAATGGGTTTCTAAGAATGGGACAAGTCTTTGAATTGGAAACCAAAAATTAAATATGGCTGAATTTAATATGATAAGTACTCAAAATAGATATTTTCGAAAAACAGGAAATGTTAGTTTGTTAAAAATTTAGTCACATGCTGGCAGTGTTCCCGCTTCTAATGGAAACTAGGTGCAATTTTTGATTTTTGAACTATATTTTGTCCTGATTTGTTTTCCGCAGTCGGTGTCTGATCATTTTTGTAAGATATTTTCCTATACCGAGATGTGAATTACTTTCCTATTTAAAAAATCAGTACAACACTAAAACGTTGACGAATCCATTATATCAAAAAAATGAATCAGGATTTAAATTTCCTTGCTAGTATAAATTTCATGGAGTATTCTGAGTGGTATGAAAAGAAAAACAATGTCCAACGATGTCCTGCAAAAGAATATAGCTCCGCGCTTTCTCTATATCGAAAAATCTCCCCATTTTCCTGAACAAACAAATGAGGAAAGGTTCAAAATATTTACATTTGATGATTACAGGCTTTACTTAGAGTTCGTACTGTATGTATCCACGATTTTACTGAAAAGAATATTTTCGGACGTAATTCAATTAAAGTAACTTTTGCAAGTAACAAATAAAGAAACTTTGAAGTTTGTTTAGTAGCGTCAAACTATACTAAACTATACATCACCTGCGTGGGCTGCAAGGTTGTTTTGTTTTCCACAATTATTTTAAAATCGCGGTTATGCAACGCTGTTGGAGACGAGTCGCTCGCTTGTGAGGATTGACTCGAAACTGATGCCACTGATTCTGAAAGAAAAATTTGAATAACTTAGGGTGATGCCTCGTGTCCAAAATACCAAATACCTTCATCATCCCCTCCTTCCGATGGGTCCTCAATCAACAACGCATCTGCCAGAGCAATTTTTCCAATGTCTGGAACCAAGTGGAGTTTTCCGCTCGACGATCTCGTAGCTATTATTAAGTGGTTAGAGAAAAGGAAACACTGCCTGACGACTTCCTTTTCTGTTTTAAATCCAAGCTTCGATTTTGAGCCTTTGGGTTTCTTCGTGGGCAATTGTATCAAACTACCTTGTCTCACAAAAACTTGATTTACGTCTAGCAGTATGTCGCATCCTTCGACTATCATTCTTTCCACCGCTAAGTTTTTCCGTAGATTTTCAGTTTCCGATACCTGCAACGCAAACGTGTAAAACATTCTTTCACTTTTAATGGGGGAAGTTTCATACTTCGTCGTGCATCTGCCTCGATAAATCTTCCAATTGTCTCCTGGAATTCTGCAAACATTTTCTTTCGACGTGATCGTGAGGTGTGTGCGCAAGCAGTTCATGTAAGGTGATAATATACCTGGGTACCTAAAAAAAAGCAGTCTTCCGAAATCCAAATTTACATCATTTCACCCTGGGAAAATGTACGAACCTGCAAATTTCAACTTATTTGTTTCCCAAATAAGAAAGACGAGTATCGCATTTTGGTCGAAGCACATTCAGAGGAAATTGCGAAAGTAATAAACAGTGACGGTGAAGCAATTTTGGAAAACTCATAAATACGATACGCTTTGCATTAAAAAAAAAGTCGTTGAAAGCGACGTTATTTAGTTTGCGAGGAAAACTTTTATTTCGCAATTTAGATTTGAAAACGGAGCCGGTTAGTTACTTGTGAACTCTGTGTAATATACTAGAAGAGTGGTTAATTACGAACTGAAGTTTTTGAGAATCATCAGTCAAATAGTTTTCGTTACTCTGCTGAGGTTCGTATGACTGGCAGTGAGAGGTAAATTTATATTACCTGGTTAATTACGTTTTTGAGATGCATCAATATGTGCGAAGGTGTCCCAGTGGTTCATATAAATCATATAAACATTGCTGTAACTAAGGGTCATTTATTTAAAAATGTTTCCTGAAGTTCCTATATCTGACAGCGAGATGCGAATTTATATCACCTGGTTAATTACTTAATGAAGTATTTGAGAAGCAGCAATATTAATTTGTAGAGCGGATCCCAATCGATAGACGTGGTGTATCAGTTTACCGTGGCACTGCTTCAACACTCTGTAATACATTTAAAATGAACCGAAAAAATCATATAAACATTACTACAACAAAATGTCGTTTACTTATAAATGTCTCCTGAAGTTTATATCGCTGAGAGTGAGAAGCAAATTTGTATAACCAGTTTAATAACATTCTGGAGTTTTTAAGAAGTTCATAGATATTAGAAAGTGACTAACTGATACGAATTAAGGAAGACTCGCACATATTTTGCATAATTCGCACACGCAAACTTAAACTAAGTAGTATACCAAACCAAAGAAACGCAGTTAGGTATAAAATTATTTTCTATCACCGACCACAATTATACCTGAATTTAAATTCTGAAACTTTAGGTAATAATCTTGTTGGATTGTATGTCAATGACCACCCTTACTTAATCCCATTGGAAAGCAATTGGCCACTTTCTTATATTTACAGCACTGCTTTACTCTTACACTCTATAATGCAATTAAAATCAGCAGAAAAAATAATGTAAACATCGCTGTAACTAAGTGACATTTATTTAAAAAAGTCTGCTGAAGTTGGAATAGCTTCTAATAGTGAGAAGCAAGATGATGGCACCTGGTATAAACAAAATTTAAATTTCCTCGCTTGAAATTCATACACTCACCTGATGCATGGGGTAAGTTAAAAAAGTTTCCAACGATCGGCCACTACACGCAGGTTTAGTTTCTAATCTTTTCAGCATCGCTGAGAACGCTTGAGACTGCTTACACTCGGTTAAAACCTGAAGGGAATAGTGATGATTCCTTACGTATTCTTGGTAAATACTCAACATCGGAAGCAGCATCGAAAATAAATCTCCTACAAAAGACCGTCGCTGCTTGATGGGAGCAATTTGTATAGCGTCGGCTTACCTAACACTAATGTAGGCCAACTTTCTAGTCTCGAAGTAAGCCCTTTTAGAAATATCTGATGTAGAAATAACACTGTCTCGCTATTTAGGAAAATCGAATTAACATCTTCATGGGTGCACGGCGGCTTTTTAGACGAAGCCGCCATTTTGAATGGCCTGAGGAAACAAGTAACGAGTACTTCCATTTGTTCCATGTATTCTTCCTCAGCTTCGACCATCCGGAATACTAAACTGTTTCGTTTTCTCATACTTTCCGCGTGAGGACTTTTGATATACTGTTCAACTATTTGTTTCCATCTACGCCTGCAGAGCCAGCCGCGGAAAAAGCTTTGCACTTTTTTTATTTTCCTTAATTCGGTCGAATCTTGATCTAAGCTCGCAAATTGTCCGCATAAACCGCTCGAAGTTGAAGTGCCTTGGCACGAATGCAAGCTGCATGTTGATTGATTCGTTCTCCATTCCCTCTTTAAAGCGAACAACTACCAAACATTACGTCGAGTTACTTTTTTTACATTGCTGCAGTTTTCGATTAAAATTGAATACACATTACTATGTTCGTACTAAAATTTGCATCTCAAAGATTCTTATATAAACTAAATTATCATTTTAATTTTGATGGCAATGGGGGAAGTATTGAAATTATCTACTACTTCTTCGTTCGTGGAAAAAAAACGCTAGAGGTGTTAAATGGAAGCTTCTAAAATTTCTCAGTAAAATCTAGTGTAGTCCTTTAAAAAGTTATTTCTGGTTACGTTGGACTGTCTGGATACAAAAACTTTTATATCACATCGTAACTCCAAAAAAATAAAAAAGAGATAAACATTTTTAGAGTTCTAAACTTGTATTGCAATAAGTGCTGAATCATAGTCCCTTAAATAATCATTTCTAAATTATATAACAAGTGATGTATTGAATAAATTGTTGCAGATGATGTAAAAATATTTAAAATTGTCTATAGTCAAGATAACTGTCGCCTTCTTCAGAGGGATCTTCAGACTGCTGACTGCTGGTGTAAATTCTGTTGAGTTTACACCAGCCTGTTGGCTGCCATTGAATATTGACAAATGTTTTTCTGTTAGTTTTTCGAACAGGGTTGGTTGTATTGGTTTCCATTGTAATCTAGGCAATATAATAATAAAACGATGTTATAGCTACAAATATTTGTTAGTTTTATTTGATTTGATAAGGTTTCGTTTCCTAACCATATCGTTCAATCTCGTTAAAAATGTTAGGATTTATATTCCGAAATGCTAGTGAGTTTACAAGCAAACAGTCTAAGCTGCAGTATATAGAATTCTATTTTCACTGAATACTCAGAGAAAACTTTTAAAATTTTCAGCTATTAAATGTGAAGGCTATTCAAAATACGAGCTTTAATTAATCGTAGGAACTGTACATCAGATAGATTTTTGTTCTTAAGTAAATTATGAACTGTTTTCAATTTTGGTTAGAAATCCACTCTTTCAAGCACTGAACATTTTTAATTCTATTTGTAGTCAAAGTTATACATACTTTTTCATTAAAGGATAAATTTTTCATGTGACTATTTTAGGTACTGCTATTTTTTGATCTTAATTTTTGTTATTTGTATATATATATATATATATATATATATATATATATATATATATATATATATATATATATATATATATATATATATATATATATATATATATATATATATAATTCTCTGTATGATTGCTTTTGTTTGGTTCAGTTTTTACTATATCGTTATATTCAGTACATATTCAGTATTCGTTATTTTCATTATTTGTATATCTTGTCCTGGTGACTATTCTTAGCGGTATGATAAGTGTTAGACAATAAAGCTTATCATTAATATTATTTCTAGTTAAGTTCGACAAGCTCGATTATTTACAAGAATTTTTAAATCACATGAAAATATAGTAATACTTATTTAAATTAATATATTGTAAATATTTATTTTGAGTTACGTTCGACAATCTTGGCTATTGATAAGAACTTTTAGATCGCACCTTTAAAGTCTAAGTAAGTGGGAGGTGAAATTCCTCGTCAAATATTTTTTACTTTCCAGGGATTTTAATTGTATTATTCTTCCAAGAAAAGAGGGTTTTAAATTTGTTTGAGGCCAAAACCGTGTTTAACTCCGCCTAGATTATACACTAGTTTCAGAAACTCTAATGCATAATCTAGCTGGTTCCAAGCCCAGTAAAGGAGGAGGAGGCACACTCACACAAACACCACACACACTTTCTGGCTGATAAGGCTCATGCCGTAATTGTAGTATTTTCAAAGCCCTAAAATTTCGCATGACCTTACCATCCATTTCTATAGTATTTGATAAATCCGTTGAAAGCATTTTTATTTTTTCATGGAATGGAATGGAATTGTTGTATCAGAGCTCATTAGGGCTGGTAAGTGGTGTCAACAGATTCACCAAATACCTCATTAGAGTTTAAATAAACTAATTTGCGTATTCTGTCCTTAGATGAACGATTGGCTTACGTCAGCTTGCGAACGTCTGTTTTTCGTGAAGGTGAGTATCGATAAATATGACAATAATAAAAAAAAATACTGCTGGTTTGGATGGAATTAGTTTTCCGTTTTGTTTTTAGCAAAATACAAAACAACCTGTCCTGTTGTGATTATTTCAACAAGACGCGATTAATAATGGAAAGAAGAATGCTGCGCTTTATCCTTCAGACCGTCTTCCACATTCATTAAAAAGGCATTGGTGAGTTATGTAGAAATTAATAATTTGTCAAGAACATTTAATTAAAACTTAATTGTAAACGACATAATATTTTCTAGTCGGCACCGGGCAAAATGTCATTTAAAAACATTCCGCCGTGTAAAAAAGAAATTGGCCAGTTGGGATGGAAAAAGTTTGCGAAATTTAAACAGATTATTACTGTGCTTCGCAGGGGTTTAAAAATTTCGCGTTTTAATCTTGGAGAGAAGAGTTGCTTACCGCAGCCTGAAAATCATTTCGATATTAAAGTCGAACGGTAAACGGAAGTTTTGCCTAAACTTTATACGGATTAGTACAAAACCAAAGGGGCTGGAAAACGATCCAGAATCAGTATGAAAAGTACGAAAAGTAGTTAAATTTCTTTTTATTATGTTGAAATATTTGATTCCCCAAGGGTGTGCGCTATTGAAATATCCCACTATATTAACTATTGGGTAAACACATATATCGTTATTTTTTTGAATTTCCCTACCTCCATTAGGTGTGATCATCAATTTCCGGCATACCCTCTACCCTAAATGCCGTCAAAACTTAAAAAAAAATGATACGTCAATTGATGGCGAAAGTAAATAATTTTTAATTGCCACCAAAGGAAAAGTCATGGGGTTTGGTTTTGAGCATACCAGGGCAGCGCCAAAATTTCCCGGCCTGAATATGAAAGAAACAAATTAGAGTAACAATTTTTTATTGTTTTTCAATATAATCCCCTTAACTTCAATTCGCTTATTACATCCCTTTATTAATAACTCAATCCCTTTAAAAAAAATATTCTTTTGGTTTGTCTGCAAAATGAGCTAAAACAGCCTCTTCTAACCCAACTACGTCGTTAAACGGCCGTCCACGTAATTCAAATATCCACACAAATAATAGACGCTGGGGGCCATATCTGGACTATAAGGAGGATGATCTATATGTTGCGACCCACACTCTAAAATGGCGACTTGTGGAACACTAGCAGTATGGACAGGTGCATTATCGTGCAAAAGACGCACGCCTCTGGTCAGTTTTCCTCGCAATTTATGTGATAATGTCGCGTAATACTTACCATTGACAGTGGTATTAATTTTTTTAAAATCTATTAAAAGAATTCCTTCACAGTCCCAAAAGATCGTGGTCATCACCTTTTTTGTTAACTGGTAGACTCTGAATTTCCTTGGAGGTGCTTCACCCTTACTACGCCACTTCATTTATTTTATTTTTTTTTCGATAGAGGGTCATAATAGAGAACCACAGTTTCATCACCTGTCACAATAGTTTCTATCACAGGCTTCGGTTCCGACCCACAGACCGCGCACACTCGACACGGCGTTGTTTTTGAATAGCTGAAAGGTTATTCCCATCTTGCACTAACCTCATGCATACCTAAATGATCGTGCAGGATTCGACGGACACTTGTATCAGAAACCTTAGTAATTTCTGAGATTTCCAGATGTATTATCGTGCAAAAGACGCACGCTCATGGTCAGTTTTCTTTGACGTTTTGATGAAAATTTACCACTGACAGTGGTATTAGTTTCTTTGAAATCTTTCAAAAAAATTCCTTCACAATCCCAAAAGATCGTGGCCATCACCTTTTTTGTTGACTGGCAGACTCTGAATTTTCTTGGAGGTGCTTCACCCTTACGACGCCACTCCGATCGAGGGTCATAATAGAGAACCATAGTTTCTATCACAGGCTTCGGTTCCGACCCACAGAGTTCCAAAAAAGACCGCGCACACTCGACACGGCGTTGTTTTTGAATAGCCGAATGGTTTTTAGGAACCCATCTTGCATTAACCTTATGCATACCTAAATAATCATGCAGTATTCGACGAATACTTGTATTAGAAAGCTTAGTAATTTCTGAGATTTCCTTGACCTTTAAACGTCGATCACTCAATACCACCTCTTCCACAATCGCAATAATATCTTCCGTTATAGCCTCCACTGGTCGACCAGTTCTTGAATCATCTTCAAGGGACTCCTGCCTCATTCGAAAACGTTTTGCCCATTCTTTCACTACAGAATACGAAGGAGAACTTTGGCCGTACACACCATCCAGCCTTTCTTTAATAATTTTGGTGCAAACCCTTCTTTTGTCAAAAACTTTATGACTGCTCTATACTCATTTGCGTTATTTGCGACATTTTTCCGGATACGTCTTGTTTAAAATTCTGTCAATAAAAAGCTATTTAACGCAAGACTTCATTTTTTTTTCGCAGCTTACTAAGATATATATTTAAAAGAAGACAAAGATTTATCGTGATACTGGAGCTGCATCTATGTCAAGTCGGGAAATTTTGGCGCTAACCTCGTAACTTTTAAAATATGTTCCACAGGATATATTTCTATTACAATAATATCGTGTTAGTTTTTGATTCCGTGATGCACTCGAATAGGTAGGATGTCACCAAAGCCAACAAACTGAGAAGGCTTCTCAAGGTGCATGATTGACGAAGATAATTATCCCCATATTAGGCAAGACAGAAACAAAAGGATCCATTGTCCAAGTCTCCCGGATTTTTATTTGTCGTGACTCTTCGAATACTTCTTGAAGTAACCTTTGAAGGTGTCAGTCGTGATAACATTTTCCCAGGAACTTTTTATACCATTTTCTTCTGAAGTAGCTGAACTTGTTCATTTATTTCTCCAAATGATTGGCGCGGTTGGTCGATATTATTCATTCCTTGTACACACGTTAGTTTCTTCTCTTGACTCGCTTCACGAGCGATTGAATTTCGTCCAATAAAAGAATGCCTTTGCGCAAATAATTCGCGGAAATTGAGATAATTGAGACTTACGATCACAGGCCGCGGAAGTAACTTTTGACGTTTAAGGCAGAAATCGTTTTCCAAACCGACCGTAGTTTATATTTATTCGAATGATGCTGACGTAACGCAATTTCCGATGAAGTTTCGCGGAACTATCATCATATTTCAGGGTTGCAGCTTTCTTCCCCTTCGCTTCGAATTGGGACGTATATTTCAACTGAATTATTCTTGCGTCGTGTTTTGCCTGAGATCAGGGCTGGCACTTTCGCCTTTTAGAGATTTTGTCAACGACAAAATACGTCTTTTTAAATTTAATAAATTTATATGCATTGGAAAAGAGATAAAGGATATTCGCTATCAACTGTCTCGTGAAAAAGAGAAAATTTATTGTATTGCCGCTTTCTTCTTCCTTCCATTGTTGTAAGTTTGCAGGAGACTGATTCGTACTTTCTGATATCGTAAACGCCCTCGAACAGGATTTTTGATTTATTTGGAGTTTATTTTGTCTTGTTAGTCTAACCATGCGTCATGCACACCGGCAAAATTAAAATAACTTAGGACAAGAGAATATGATAACTTAAGCCAAATTGAATACATTTGGGACATGAGTTTTAAAGCCTAAATCTATATCTAGAAATAGTTCCAAATTTGGTCAAATAGTATAAGACAAAATTTTTTTCATTAAAATCTAGTTGATGGTCCTCAAAAGACTCAACAATGATTTAAGAATCTTCGTCGATATTCTAATTCTCTGTCAATATAATAATATTGTTCAAAGATCTAAGAAAATTGTGATTTTCCATAAAAAAAATAGGGCATATTAATTACATTCGCAGTATTTTGGCTGTCTTAAATTACAAAGTGGTTGATATGATCACCCTGATAGGTCTGATCATTTTTTTATGCTGTTTATGCTTACACCTGGAAATTAGGACCCGTGCGGGTTATTCAAATTTTTCACCACGTTAAAAAATGCCTTGATATCTCACAAATGCCTCACATCAACTGGAATATCTTAACAAAAATGCACTAATATTTCGCGTAACATTTCTACAGTATTTGATGGATCCATTGCAATCAAAGATAAAATTCTCTGCATTTTTCTTTTTTCATATAAAACCTTTTTGCTAAATATTTTTTTCTATTTTTGCTTAATTTCCAAACAGTTTAGTGGTTAGTTTTATGTCGCACATAGTAGGATTAATATGCCATATCTACAGAAACTATGGTTATAAAGAAATTGTGTCGTATAAATTTTCCTTTGTACAGAATGGGCCAAATTGAAAAATTTAAGTTAAACTCCCCTGTTTCAAAGGAAATAAACGAAAACTAATATCGGTTACTTTAGCTCGATTTTTTTAAACGGTAAAAACTCATATGGATATCAATACGTTTTCAAAGTTTGCTATAATTTATTGGTTATTGAAAATTTTTTGTTTCTATAAAAGCAATCGAAAGAACCTGAAATTACCTTGCTGAAAATATAGCATGCTTATGGCATTTTGCACTTTGAACAAATAGTTTTAATTTGTTTTGGTTGTGTTGTTGTGGTTGTCAATGACGTCGAAAATAATGCAGAATATTACATTTAAAGATCCTGTTGATATTGCCTTTGAGATATTTCATCACTTTTTATTAGAAATCAAAATATACAAAATTAACTTCTTCAGGATTTCAAGCAATTAATTCAAAATACTTTCAAATTTTAACTCCATAACGCAAAATTGTCACTTAATGATCAAACCAAAACCATCAAAATTCGAATGTGCCTTTTGATGTCTGACAACTATTATCTCAAATTAATTGACGTCTTGATAGCGAGACACGTTTTTCAAGAAAACCGCAGAAATTGGTTTTGCGTTTTATCCAGACAACTTGCCTAGTCCTGTCCTGTGCCAGGGACCCTTAAAATGCCTGGCGTCGTTATTCGAATGTCAATAATTCAGCGCCCAAATTTATAAAGTGGTAAAAAATTCACGGAGGCTTGAGTTTTTCCGTTATTTATAACTGCAATTTATTTTTTTTTTTGGACGCAAGGAAAATTCGCTTAAATTTCACTTTCCGATAGAGAAACAACGAATTGCACTGAAAGTTTGGTTTGACGCCGTTGAGAAAAAGAAACTGCTGAATAATTATTTACAAAAACGTTTTGTATCTGCCCTGAAGTATATTCATAGTTTGTCAATCAATCGTATCTGATCTGAAACTTGTTAGAAATATGCAAAAATTTAAGAAGGCTTTGTTAACAAAATATTCATTTCATGCTGCCTAAAATTTTGAGGAGTAATTATGATTAGAAATATAAATGTCGCTGAAAAATTAAAATCACATATTCAAAGAAATCATTACCTCAGCTCTGAGCTTCTTAATTTCTGCTGCCAACTCCTCGCATTGCTGTGTATACTGCCATTTGGCAGTTTTCTCCGATTCAACAATCTGCAACAGGTGTAAATGTTTCTGCTCTAGTTCCTCCCTTTGTAGAAGCAATTTGTTGAAGCTGGAAAAAATTAATATTTTTTTAACGTTTTAATTGTAATTTACCGACGTGTGTTTAAGGTAACTAATTTGGTGAGTGTATCAAGCAATGATAAGAAATGTTTTGTTCATATTTCTACATACATGCCAAAAAAATAAGTAAATTCATATACGAGGTTAGCGCCAAAATTTCCCGGCCTGACATAGTTGCAGCTCCAGTATCACGATAAAACTTTGTCTTGTTTTAAATATATATCTTAGTAGGCTGCGCAAAAAAATTGAAGTCTTGCGTCAAATAGTTATTTATTGACAGCATTTTAAACAAGACGTGTCCGAAGAAATGTCTCAAATAACGCAAATTGAGTATAGAGCAGTCAGAAAGTTTTTGACCAGAGAAGGGTTAGCTCATAAAATTATTAAAGAGAGGGTGGATGGTGTGTACGTCTAAAGTTCTCCTTCGTATTCTGCAGTGAAAGAATGGGCAAAACGTTTTCGAATGGGGAGGTCAAAACGGAAGATATTGTTGCGATTGTGGAAGAGGTGGTATTGAGTGATCGACGTTTAAAGGTCAAGGAAATCTCAGAAATTACTAAGCTTTCTGATACAAGTATTCGTCGAATACTGCATGATCATTTAGGTATGCATAAGGTTAATGCAAGATGGGTTCCTAAAAACCATTCGGCTATTCAAAAACAACGCCGTGTCGAGTGTGCGCGGTCTTTTTTGGAACTCTGTGGGTCGGAACCGAAGCCTGTGATAGAAACTATGGTTCTCTATTATGACCCTCGATCGGAGTGGCGTCGTAAGGGTGAAGCACCTCCAAGAAAATTCAGGGTCTGCCAGTCAACAAAAAAGGTGATGGCCACGATCTTTTGGGATTGTGAAGGAATTTTTTTGATAGATTTTAAAGAAACTAATACCACTGTCAGTGGTAAATTTTCGTCAAAACGTCAAAAAAAACTGACCATGAGCGTGCGTCTTTTGCACGATAATGCATCTGTTCATACTGCTGGTGTTGCACAAGCTGCCATTTTAGAGTGTGTGGGTTCCAACAGATAGATCATCCTCCCTATAGTCCAGATGGGCCATATTATTTATTATTACTATTATTTGTTTGGATATTTGAAAAAGGACTTACTTAACGACGAAGTTGGGTTAAAACAGGCTGGCATTTTGCAGGCAAACCAAAAGAATATATTTTTTATGGGATTGAGTTGTTAATAAAGAGATGTAATAAGTGTATTGAAGTTAAGAGGGATTATATTGAAAAATAATAAAAAATTGTTACTGTACTTTGTTTCTTTAATATTTAGGCCGATACATTTTGGCGCTGCCCTCGTACATTTTTAAATTGACTAATGGGATTATCCAGATTTTTGGATTATAAGCCTCCATAAAATAGGGATACGTACTTCTCTTTTGTTTTGTTTCATGATTTGTAAAATGAGAATTTAGCTTCGTTATTATTTAGCTTTTGTTGTATTTTCCTATTGAACTGAGAAGGCTTTTACTTGATGAAAATCCATTTGATCCAAATGAATAAGAACTAAAAGTTCAGATTTTCATGAAATTATATATTTTGACATGACAATTGTTTCGACAACACAGTGTCTTTATCAAATCAATCAAATCAAATCAAATCACATTTGATAAAGACACGGTGTTGTCGAAACAATTTTCACGTCAAAATATATAATTTCGAGAAAATTTGAACTTTTAGTTCTTATTTTCCTATTCTTTGTGGAAAGAAAATAAAATAATGTTGCTACCATAAGGACGCAGATATAGTTAGTTATTCGGTTTGTGTTCTTTACGGGACACAGTCGCATTTATATTTCTCTCTTTATTTGTACATTTCTTACTGGAACGTATCCACATATAACATAAAATGCATGGCAAAGTTAAATCCCGCTGATTTCATTATGTCGTATGTGAATAATATATTTCTGCTCCTAAGAGAAAAGTGAAACCAATAATATTTGGTATCATATTCTATCAGCTCATAACATGTTTAGAAACATTCGTTCGAAGCTAAATATTGCTATTTAAATGTAACATTTTTGCCATTTTCAGCAATTCCAATCGATTTTTCATTCATCCACTTTCTAACAAATACGCAGGCCAGAAATGGAAAGTCACTCACTTTTCCCCCACTACCTGAATTTTGGGCATACAACAGGATTACAACCTGACCATGTAGTGGTCAGCTGAATATATTTTAAAATAGCATTAACCCTTTTAGGATTTATATTCCGCAACTGTTTTATTTCGTCAAACTCGTGACTAAAGTACCAAATACGAAATAAACATCATTCGTGCATAATTTGGTATTTTAGAGGAGGTAGTAGGAAAAATATATCAAAGCAATTCCATTCTAGTCCAAAATGACCATTGAATTCCCCTTGAAAAAAGGTATCGAAAATATATATTTCGACATTGCTCATATACCGGATCACGTGGACTTTTCGTATGCATAACCCATAATATAGTCGTTGCCCAGTGAAAAATTCTTTTTAAAAGACAACTATCGATTTTTAATCCCCATTAAAAATGTTATACTTTTTTCCAACTTTCCTTTTTTTTTAATGAACTCTTCCTATATAGTTGGAAAAGCGATTCCAAACTTGCCTAAAATGAGAACCTCCAAGGAAGTAGCAGCAAACTCTGTAGTTGTATTATTTACTATAAGCAATGTCTTTAACAAATTCTATAACGGTTTTAGTACAACTTGTGTACTTCCTAGTAATTCCTACTTCATATGTGCACGAAAATTAGCAAAATTAGATGAATTATGTTTAGTTCGATGAAATCGTGTGATATATTTGTTGGCAAACTTTATACAATTTAGCCATCATATGAGCGTAGGAAGTACAAGCAAAATTTATTTTATCATATATTGTTCGCTGCCTCATTTAATATGTATTGAAACTTGTTAGTTAACTTAGACAAATTCCAAACTTTGTCTTTTGGGTATTAGTTATTATTGTTCCTATGAACTAGCTACCTATTAATGGCATGTATTGTATTATCGAATCGAACTCAATATTACTGGTATCATAAACCGAAATATAGAGGAAACCGTTCGTTAAATGCATCGAAATTCAAAAATTTCAAGTATCACGATTAGAAACTTACTTATCGTAATATTTCTCAGGGATGGAAAAAGACGTATATCCGTAGTTCATGTGTAAAGTCTGTTCATAGATATAGGAAAGTGAGCAACTGATAATTAAGGAACGAACCGCGCAAGCTGTAAGAATGAAATATGGCCGAACAGGTCCGTACTTTGCTTAGAATTTAATTATTTGGGGTTTTATTCCATTAAAACTTGCCTTCTGTCAATTTTTTTAATCTAAAACCCATGTTTTGAGTACACTTCCATAAGGTAGTTCTGCCACATTTAACACCGGTTTCATCTTTTTCAAGAATATTAAACACAAGTAGGTATAAAATTATTTTCTATAACGGACCACAATTTTACCTGAATTTAAATTCCGAAACTTTAGGTAATAATCTTATTGCATTGTATGTTAATGACCACCCATTCAAAAGGAAGTGGTCACTTTCTTATATCTATGAACAGACCATACCATTCACATCAATACAGCTTTTGGTTAAAAATTACCAATACCCTCTTCTGGAATCACGGATCCAGAGATGTAAACAAATATATGTAGATTTAGATCTGTCATATCCCAGACATGTAATAAATCTGGTGACCTTCGGAATCATAGAAGAACTATCATAGAAGAAATACCAACCGAGGACTGTAGTCCATAAGCTACAATGTTCCGATAAATAGAACTTATCGATGGTCGAACCGTAGCTACACTGCGTTCATGTGCGATTGTGCTGGGTTGTGAGGGCATTAAGTCTTAGAAGCCGTTCTTCGAGATCGCCGATCCTTTGACCTTACTATTTCATAATACACGTCACTCACCCAAATGCAATAAAACTGTATAGCTCTAAGCAATTGATGGTTAAAAAAAACGATTTTTTTTTTGGATCTAACACACAACATCCAGTTCCTAGTTGCCTCCAAAAAGTACTTACCACGTATGCACTCTCAATATTAATGGGAAGATTATCCTCATTACAGTTTTGCATTTTTGCATATGTTATCACGGATAGGTAATTAAGTCAACTTTATTAATGTTTTTTAAAGAGAATTAATTAAACGCTCTACAAAAATGGTCTTTTATACTTTTTCGATAAATCCGCATCAAAGATGGAAGAATTGAATAAAAAATACGTTTTTGTTCTGAATTTTGTTATTGACTACAAAATAATTATCGTGAAATGTTTTCATTTATTCTTATAGGAAATTAAATGCTCTACAAAAAAGTCTCATGTGGTTTATCGATTACTCGAACCATTTTAAAGATATTTGCATTTTAATCCCAATGGGTATTTATGGCTTTTAATAAATATTTTTAATTTTTCACTGAATTAATAAATTTGTTGCTGGAAAAAAAGTTCTTTATTCAAGAAATACCAATAAATGAGTTAATAGAAAAAGAATTTTGTTCCACAATTTGAAATTTTATATATTAATAAATACAGTATTAATACAAAATATACATTCTTTAAATTTAGTTATACAAATCGACTTTTATTACAGCCCAGAAATAGTCCTCAATGTTCCTTGACAGGTTGCAGCAAGTATTGAAGCTGTTGATTACTCCACGCTCTGCTACAACTTTGATTTTTTTTTAAACACTCTTCATTTTTCTTATTACTCCCATCTGAAGCCCACAATGCAATATCAACATCAAAGAACTCATATGGTAGGTCTAGAGTTTTGAACAAATTCAACGATTTTTGAGAAACTAAGTCACTCAAATCCTCTTCATTAATATTAAGATCATACGTGGTAAGTACTTTCTACAGATAACTAGTTTTTGTATGTCAGATCCAAAAAAATTCGTTTTTTTACCCACCCTAATAGCTTAAATTTTTCTATGTTACACAATATAGAAACATGAAGCAGGTGATAAGCAAAGTGGTTTCAGTTTAATCACGCTATCAAATAATCCTTTCAATTTTTTTCTTCAATTTGCATCAATTAACACTTTGATTAGTCAATTGTCGATGTTTTAATGTTTCGCGAAACGTTATTATAAAATAAATATTCTCGATAAACGTCGGCTTGGCTTATTTCGCTTTTCGCCATAAAATGATATTTGTTAATTAACGAATTTATTGGAAATGATGCAAATAATGTAATTTTATTAAGCGCACACGATTCTGATAGTCCATTTTTGTTGCCCCGTCTGAAATTGGTTTTCCATTGTAGTTTGCAAATACCTACGTGAAGCTAACGCATTCGCGTTAATTGATATGAGATTTTTACGTGCTCCTTTTTGATCAGTTCGCGTTGTAATTAAACTTGTACGGCGATTTAAGCGTATCAAAGGGGTTGGATCTGAAAGTCGCCATTGTTAATTGTCCTTTGACGTCGATGTGTGGGACTGTCACTTGGTCGACCTTTTTGCTAGTATTTTCAGAAAACAAAAACGTCAGTATAGCGAAGAGCCGTGTTGAAATAGCCGGCTAATTTGCTTTTTACCTCTGATATTGAGTTACGTCAAAAAGGCCTATTACTGATGGTTTAATGTACATTAATTTTGTGTGGGTGTTGGGTAAAATGACCATACGTCCCGTTTTGAACGGGACTGTCCCTTTTATAGGTCACCTGTCCCGTTGTCCCCAAACAAAGCTCCGGGACGCAAAATTGTCCCGTTTTGTGAAACAGCGCGAAAATTTAAATCATGTAGCTCACGAAACACGCGCGGGCGGGGATTCACAGACGATTCGCATCACTGTCGATCGGTGATTCCCCCCGCCCGCCCGTGCACGCTGTTCGTTACTTTTTATTGTTTATTAGGCTATTGACTCACCCGCACTCAGACTTCTCGTTATTGTTTTGTTTGTACGTAACGTTTGTTAAGTAGTTTAGTGATAAACTACTATATAATTATTTTTTTATATTATTTTGGATTTTTGCCTATAGTTATGCCGAAACGCAAGTGTTCATTTAATGTCAACTTACAAGCAAAATACCCTTTTATTAAGCAAACTGATACTCCTTCAGATGTCAGATGTGAAAAGTGTCGCACAGAGTTTAGTGTTTAGTGGTGCTGGTGATATTGAACAGCATTTGAAGTCAGAAAAACATAAAAATGCCGATCGTGCCGCTGCTTCCAGTTCTTCAATGTTAAACTTTTTCAAGAACCCAAACGCGCCAACTTCAAAGGATTTGGATATTGCTGCTGCAGAAGGCGTCTGGGCTTATCACACCATACAAGAAAACCACAGTTTTCGTTCCAATGATTGTGCGTCGAAATTAATTCAAACATGTTTTGATCCGAAATTCACATGCGCGCGTACAAAAACCGAAGCTATTGTGGTAAATGTTTTAGGGCGTTCAGCAATCGACAGTTTAAAAGATGATCTTAATAAGTCCAATTGTATAACAGTTTTAAACGACGCTTCAAACCACGTTAACAAAAAAATTTGTCCTTCCGTAGTGCGCTTTTTTCAACCTTATGAAGGCGTGCAAGTAAAAATTTTAGACATCCAAGAGCAACCAGGTGAAACTTCTGACATCATTGTAGATTATTTACATCAAGTATTAATAGAAAATAAATTGACAAAAAAAGTCGTGGCATTTTGTGGTGACAATGCTAATATCAATTTTGGAGGTGTAGCTAGGCGAGGAACTAACAATGTATTAGCCAAGTTACAATCATCTCTGAAAAAACCGTTGATAGGTATTGGATGTGGAGCCCATATAATTCACAATGCAATAAAATCCGCTGCAGATGATCTACCTTTAGACTACGAAAGCATTATTGTCAAAATATATTCATTTTTTTATATTTACACGGTTCGAGCGGAAGCTCTCAAGGAGTTTTGCGCTGAAGCTGAAATAGAACAACACCAAATGTACAGTTAAACCAGGTGGCTTGCGCTTATGCCTGCTTTGGAGAGAGTTTTAAAAGTGTTCCAACCGTTAAAAGACTATTTTTTGAGCATTGAAAAATGTCCCAAATTGTTGAAAAACTTTTTTGAAGATCCCACGTGAGAACTAGGGCTTAATTTTTTACGCGCTCAGTCAGCAAGTTTTCATCAAGCTGTATTGAAGGTCGAGGGTCAGACTGTATCGGCAATTGATGCGGCAAAAGAAATCAATCATCTCAAAGACAATTTGGCACAGAAACAGATGAACCAGTTTCTTCCATTTACTGTTCGTAGTTTAATTGTGAAACTAAAAGATAATGGCACTAATATTAATGAAGACTTGGTGAAAAATACGGCAACAGAATTTTATAAAACTAGCCGTGAATACTTGAAACAGTGGACTTGCTTTCTTACTAAAGAAATAGAGATATTTAATTGGGCAGATTTAAGAAAAGTACTCGCATGGGAAGATATTCAAAACGCAGTGGATATATTGATTGAAAAGGGATATATTCACTGTAATAAAGATACAGAAGTATTTGACGAATACACATTAATTTCAAACTACGTCACTACCCAAAAAATTACTGAATGGGGTAATTTAAAAGTCTCAACAGAAACCCGTTGGGTGGAACACTTTCGTTCTAACAATTTTAAACATGAAAATTTTTGTATTTTAATTGAATACATTTCATGTCTACCTGGAACAAATGCTCCAGTAGAAAGAGTCTTTTCTCTCATGAACAAACTGTGGACATCCGAAAAAAATCATTTACAGGTTCCAGTGTTGAAAGCGATGTTGATAACTAAGGTTAATGTAAAAAAAACGTGCCAAGAATTTGATTCTTATTTAAAGTCATCGCAAACTCTATTAAACCAAATTTGTTCCTCTGAAAAGTATAAAAACAATTAAAAAAAAATGCGTTACATATATTTTAATAATTATTGACAGATCAAAGTTCCTTGATTAGTAAAGCTGGTGATTGATTTTAATTTTTCACAACTTATTTTTTAATTACTTAATTAATATGAAAATAATTATAGTGTATAATTCCATTAAGTAACACTTATTCTAAATAAAGAAAATTAAAAAGTTGTGTTTATTTTCTTTGTTAGCCTGAAGGCTAAATGTAAAGGTCTGGCGAGAAATTTAAATTTTAAACAGTTTTTAAATATCGATTTAGAGTAACGTAAATAAATATTTTTTAGTGTCGCGAAATCGAAAACCCTATCTAAGTTTTGACTAATTTGGTTACAATTAGAAAAAATACTGTTTAAAATTTGAATTTTCCGCCAGACGTTTAACGTGAAGCTTAAATTTTTTTGTCCCGTTTTGAGTTAAAAAATAAATGGTCACTTTAGTGTTGGGTCACATTAAGCAATATTAAAAGTTTTATTTAGTCCTTCATTTATTAAATTTTTATTACTTCGCGATATTAACTAACTATTATTCATTGTTTCATTGTATTAAAGAAGTATTTAAACATCGTATATCAAATTTCTATCGCTTCAGACTGAGGGAAAAAGATATGCTGCTACTTTATCAAATACGACTAATGATAGTAGAGGGTTTAACGATTTAATGTGGTTTTTAAGTAAAGATTTTTAAATTATTGGGTATTGAATTCGGACAATAGGAAGAAGAATAATTCTGATCTATTTTTGACAAACAACTTTTTTCGTTTTGGAAAAATAGGGTACTGAAAAAGTATAATTTCATACATTTTCTATTTATGATTAATTAGGCAAATGGTAACTAGTACCATAATTTCCCAAAAGAAATTACGAGACCCTGTTCAGCATCTAACGTAAAAATAAATTAAAAGGAAATTACCTCTCTTGCAATTTAATCGTGTTTTTTTTTGCGATGTTGCTCTAACGAAGTAATTGATTAAATGTATACAAAGTGAAGTACCTTATTATTTTTCACTGACAAACAGAAAACAAATTGAATTTTATACAATTTTTTTGTCTCAAAGTTTTGTCGGAGAGATTACCAAACACCTTTTATTGGGTTTCTTTTGCATTAGATTAATTTTAGAGCAGAGAATTACTTTAATTTTTATTGAAAGCGATAATTTATTTATGCTCTGTAGCTAGAAACGTACGAAATTTTGATAATTATTTATAAAGAAAGTTCACACAGTATATTCTTTGTTTTGAGAATCGAAAGCGCTTAATTTATGCACAGACATAATTCCTCCATTAATATTTTGGTGAAAGCCGTCTGAAGCTTTTTCATAATGAATCAATGTCGTGACTATTTGACAAAATAATCGCTTAAATATTTCGTTCGACCTAGAATCCCTTTGGCTTTTTACTAGAATATCGGATTTCTAAATAATGCATTCCTCATAAAGCATAAATGGTGGAAAATCGATATAAAGTTACTTAAAGGACAGATTTAGGTTGTAAACGTAAGCGCTACTCGTATAAAGAAATCCGGTGCAACAGCTTCTTCGGTATTTTTAAAAACTACCTCTACATTTTGTAGGACACAATAATCTGGATAGCGAGCATAGTTCCTAATTGGCTCTCTAATTTAATTTGCAAGGCTAGGATAACTTGTTTTTCGGAGTTCTACAGGGAAAATTCGCTTTATTGTTATCCCCCCCGTGTGTTTGTTTTGGTTCAAGTTATTTTGCTGTTACAACATCATTATGGGACCATTACGATTTTGCTTAAAAGGGTATACGTTTACATTAGCCACGATATCTCAAAATTGTTATATTATTAACTTATATGCTTCGGCATTATCGGTTTATAAGTGTATATATTAATAATATTTATAAGTTTATAAATATTATTAATATTATTACTATGACTACTATGCTTAATCAAAATTCTAGACGCGCGTTGGGCTAACCCAGTTATAAACACTACGCCTAGTTATTCAAAATAGATTATGGTAACATTTTTTAAATGTGATTTACGGGAAACAGCCTCACTGTGTGAGTTAAAACGAATGTATTAAATAATTGCAGTACACTTTTTAAACATTAATAATTTACCTTGCATCCCTTATAGCTTCTATCCAATTCTTACAATCCATCTCGCTGGATGCGCATAGTTCATATTGCCTGATATTTTCTTTTCTGTAGGAGATTGCGAAACAGTGCTGAAAGAAAAATAGAAACTTTTGAGTTGGAAATATTCACGTTGGCACATGTGCGCGTACGGGGAACTAATAAAATTCAAGTTTTCCTAATTACATCTCGCTTGCTTGTGGGATGTTCTATTCAGCCCTCGTTCCCTTTAACTGAGTTTCAGTTTGTTGTTGTATAATTAATATCGGATATCTAGTTTCCGTCCGCTGAATATTAAATAATTAAAAATACACTTTCGTAAATATTTTCTTGGAATTTGACGTTTCGAAAGTGACGACAATTCTTAAGGGCCTCGGCATTAACACTAGAGTTGAAAACAAATAAAAAAAAACAGCGAGAGATACCGGAAAACAATTTCCACAAATTAACGCCTGACTGTAAGAAGCGGGAAGATTAAAAATGTTCCGGTCTAAAAATAGATTTCTGCCTTTCTCGGATGTCGATTGTTCACATTGGGAGAAAAGCGTTTGGTTTTCGGAATCAGTTTTTAATCAAGTTTTAAAATATATCTTGAAATGAGATTTGTTTTTCGAAATATTACGTTGCTTTTGGCTACGTCTTTTTTATCATACCCTACTGTCGAAAACAAATTAAGCTCAATGCTAAAGTATAAATGAATGGATATAAATAACAAATATCAAATGTTTTTCAAACCTCGTTTTGTCCTTCTTTTATTATTACAAGGGTTAGGATTTTATGTAAAAAACATCTTTTATATTATTAATAAATAAAAATATTGGGTTGATATATATATATATATATATATATATATATATATATATATATATATATATATATATATATATATATATATATATATATACATATATATAAAATGAAGGGCATAATAGTATATAGATGGTAGAAAAGAGCATATATTTGACATATTTTATGGAAAAAGCATACACATTTATGGGCATATTTTAAGCATTTTCTGTGTATAGAGATCCGAACTCTAATTATTACAAAGGCTGTTTTTGTAATGTTCTACAAAGGCAACGTAGCCCATCTCCTTTGATGTGATGTTGCACAATGTAATTTCCTGAAAAGCTAGGGAGATTGTAAAAATGTAGGTAATTGATTGCTATGGGTAGTATTAACAATAGAAGTTAATTAATGTTTTCTTTTTATACAACATTGAATCAATATATGGTTGGACGTTATTTGTTAAATTATATTGAACCTTCGATATTTCTTTTGTTAGCTTATTGATTGATAAGTTACTATTTCAATTAAGTTAATTGTTTCGCCAGGGCTAAAAGTTTAATCTCTTTAGAACTGCCCAGAGGCCGAAAGTCTTTCGATTAAATCGAGAATTTCAATCGGCTTTATAATGTGTAATTACGTAAATGTGCAATATCGTTGCGATTTTATTTGAAATTTCTGGTTGTTCTTAAAAAATAGAGGATGCACTTTTATTGGACGGGTTTCCGTTTTCGAGACGTTCAAGACATTAAAATCGATAATCTCCAATACTATCCCGTATATACGAATAACCATAACTCATGATATACGTTTATGGTATAGCAAATTTTTTATTATTATATTAAATCTATAATAGTTTATAATGCTCTAAAAGTTATAACCCCTTGAAAGTTTGTGTCAACATAAATAACCGTAGCGATCTAATATAGTTAGTAGGACATGCAGTAAAGGTAGATTCCCTCAGTAGCTTATATTTAAATGTACATACACAACAGTCTATTTTCTGCTCCTTTGTTATATCTAATTGGTCTAAAATCGATACTGTAAAACCATTCAAACATCTACTTGCTTGAATATTTAGATTCCTGCTCTAGGAAAGACAGGTATCTGTCCTGATTTAAGACTCTAAATGGAAAGCAAACCTTGCTAAGTTTAAACATGTTTTCTAATTAATTAATTTGTGTAAGCAATTAAGTAAGGGCATTATTAACATCTTACATTATCGAAATTTTCGATATCGGGAAACAAATTTGTGCCAAATACGATGTGCAAGATATATTTACCTGTTTGTCGAATTTATCTTTGGACTTGGACACACTTTCCGGAGTAATAAGTCTCTCGCAGTAGCAACCCTCCAAAAGTAGAATTCCCGAAGGCCTGTGACAATGTTCGGTATCGTAGTAGAAGAGCATATTCTGAAAATATAAATCAATATAGTTTTTTTTCTGTTCTATAGTTTTTATCCGTCTGGATTATTATCTAAATATGCAGGTATTTGTTTATTTAACTTTAAACACATTAGTACTTCGTGGTGAATATGTACAGTGCATTTAACCGACTACTATATTTTGGCTATTTAAATAAATACAGATTATGCGGGTTGATGTTTTACATTTTATCAAATACTCGACTGAAATTTAATTATTTTGAAAAGAGGCTTACTGCAAATCCAGAAACAGCGTAAATTTTCAATATTTTCCATCGCGTTAGATATCCGATAACGTTGTTCCGAATAGTATTTTAACTCGCAAGTACTAAAGTTTATTACAAAACTCCCATTTCTAGTTTTTTCATTATTTTGATCAATACACGTAATACACAAGTTGATTTCTTTATTCCAGAAATTACTAATATTGTGAGTCATGGAATTGATTTTTTTTTGTAAAATAAATAACACTAACAAAAAGGAATAATTAGTTTGTTTTAAGAAAACAATTATTTTTTAATATTGATTAAATTTTAAGAAAATAATTAAAGCAATAATTTTGATAGCACTAACGACAATTTATGAAATGCCATCTCGATGGCCTAGTTTTCCATTTATTGGAATGCATTTTTCCAATCTTTTAAGGTTCTGGATACCCGTCTAAGTTTCCTGACAGGCTTATCTTATTCTGGCCCAAAGTTCATATCGATTTCTGTTCCTTGTTTTATAAACTTTGCTTCTTATCAGTCATAAAAAATAAAAATTGAGTGGTGTAATATCAGGGGAGCTGGGAGGCCAGAGTTGAAAAGGACTGTTTCGTCCTATACAGCTCATAGGAAGACGAACAGCAATCCTTGAATGTGAAATTTGCCCATCGCAAAAGTTAACTAAACGACCAGCATTTAATGATCCATTAAACAAAATAGGTTCTATTATTTACTCTCCCAAAATTTCACACCAGAGATTAGCCCAGTATCTACACTTTTGCGACTCTAAGCAAATATTATGGACACACTCTTTCACAGAAAATTACGATACGGCATCAACAGTTTATGTCATAAAAATTTAAACAGTAATTTATGTTTTTTGTAATCAATAGTTTAGTACTGTAAAGTAAAACTGCTGACTCAAACAAAGATTCTCCATTATTAGCAAGTATCAAATTTCTAGTGATCGTAAATTCACTTCCTTTACAAATTGTAAAATTTGTCGCCCCATAACTTTTGAATAAAATTTAAAAATCTGCTGTAGCCATTATTGCCAGCTTGTATAACATATAAAACTAACCAAAACTTCGATAATTGTTTAAAGAAAATTTCTACCACGTTTAAGAGTTTAGGTTTATATTTAATATTTTAACTGAGAAATTACATTTAAAATGTAAAAGATAAATTTTAAAACTCCTTTTCCTAATAATATACTTTTAACTTGATATTTCCTCTATTTTGAATGAATGAATGACTTAAAGATTACGACCCTCTCTATAGAAAATTGGGCGGTTTCCCGGCTCATTTCTCTGCTCCAATCATAGAAGTAATTAAAAAAAAAATTAATTTCATACGAAATTCTAATTCGAAGAGATTTTAGAAGCTATGTGGAGTACATTGAAAATGAAATTCCTTACGACCACAAAAAGTTTTGCCAATTTGTGTCAGTTAAAAGTTACTCCTTTGTTCCGCCTCAGATGATTAATAAAGGGTAATGCGGAGACATGTAATTTGTTTGCGAAGTTGTTTGACGGCACATTTGTTGCTCGAAGACTACATTGGACACCGTGCCTCAGCTCATACGCCGAGCAGCGGTGCTTTAAGAGCCCTTTCTCTAAGCAACAGTGAAGTACTCGAAGTACTCAACCCGCTGCATCCTAACAAACGTTGTGGTTGGAACGGAATTTCGCCATTTTTCGTAGTTTATTTAATTATTGGCTCGCGGTGTCTTTCCAGAAATATGGAAGCTATCTGATGTCGTTCCGGTTCAGGAAAATGGTCCAAAATACGGTTAATAATTATGGTCAAAAGTTTTAAGTGTTCGCTAAAATTTTCGAGAAACTTGCAAATAAATCCTTTTTTAATTTGGTAAAAAGGCAAATTATTCCAGAACAATCTTATTCAGGTGTCATACACTTTGCCATCTCCAGGATCCCTCAAAATGTTTTCAGCATAGCAAATTTTGTTTGTATGTTGAAGATGTAAAAATTTTAATATTCAAGGCTTTGGATCGTTCTGTAGACATAATAGTCTTTTCATAAACATCTAAAAATTCTGTGTTATATCTTTTACTAGAAACTGGGACTTTTCCCTTCAACTACTCTGTAAATAACAGCACTCTGTAAAGAGTAACAGACTTGAAGTATGTGTGATGCTTTAATAATAGGCAAATAAATATTTTCAACAGGGCTTACGCATGCCTTAGCCTGTATTACTGGAATGTTTTTAAATTTTGAAGCATTTGAAGTTCTAGGAACAATGCATACGAAAATAGGATTAAAAGTTTTGCAGAGCAAATTCTTGAAATGCGTCTCTTATAAAAAAAAAGTCTTAACTAAATAGCCCAAGACTTAACCACTGAAGAATGCATTATAAACTCTTAACAATGGAATATCGAAGAGTAAACACCGACATTCTTTTCTTGCATAAAATTTTAAATGACAGCGTGGAGATATGAAAACCATGCCTTTATTTAGTATTCCCTTGAAAAATACCAATAACCACCAAAAGAGCTGCAAATATTCAATGCTTAGAGCTTAACTTGTTCACAATCTCACATGATTCCTTAAAGTAGATCCTAACTGTTAGACTTTTGAATAGATCCTCATAATTTATAATTCGAAATCATTTCATGACTTTACTAATTTAAAGCATACTACAAAATAACTTAATAAATAAATAGAATAATTCTATCTTCTAATTTTCAATAAATAAATGGAATGAAATCTAAAAAAGGAGAAAAAAAACTTGTTCTTTCCTTCTCCAGAAATAAGTTGTTAACTAAACTTTGCATATTATTTTTAGTTCTATTGTAGTTCTTACCAGGACAATGTTGTAGGCTTAACCTCTTTTTGCCCTAAAGTGCAAACAATAAATACATAAATTGACTGTTTTCCTTTATCACAACTAAAATTCAAACCCGTTTAGCTTCCGAGTGAAGGAGCATGGGTAATTATACACCTACGATCTTGGTTAATTTGTATTTAGTAATGGCGACAATTGGGCCTTTTGGTTTGTTTACGTTTCGAGCGAAATTCAAACATACCGAATTGAAAATCGTTCAACCCTCTCTATAATAATGTTTCGAAACTGGATACGGGAACTAAGCAAATAAAAATTGTGGACTGTTTTCATGGGTCTCTATTGGCAAACCTAATTAAAACATTTGAACAAGGATTTCGCTGTATAAAGGTTTCTTTTTATGAGACGTTATGTTTAATAGATTAAGACCAAAGTGCAATTATTAGAAGCGAAAACCAGCAAACGATTGTAGTATGTTAATTTTCAATAATTTCATTTTCATTTATAAGCTGTGAAAATGCTGCTGAACCGTTGAGATTGTACAGGGATCGGTATCCTGCGAATCCCAGATGTTTACATAGTTAATTCAAAGGGCAAGGGACACACAAAATACCTCCACAAAACGTGCAAATGGAAGAGGAAATTATAATTATATACGGCCATGTCCCATTAAGGCACAGTAAAGTCTGGGGAGAAGACTAGTTGTACCCTTTTCATGTACATGTTCAGACTTTAATGCCACAAAATCACCCGCAGCGCGTACGTTATTGCCCTCTTATAGCAAGATTGAAACGAAGTTTTGTAAAGAGGAATTAATAACTTTTGAAAACACCTATGTGTGGTCATTAGAAAAACGAATTTTCTAGACACGTTTTCTCTAAATGCTGCTGCCGAAACTTTTGATTACTGGCAATAAAACGTAAGGTTGCAAATTATTTGTAAATATATATTTTTTAATGACTAAATAATTTGTTTTGAAATAACATAATTTTATATTTCGCATTCACGTCAATTTTGACAGTAGTTTAAATATTTAGTGCACCGAGGCTATTCAACATGCATTCTTTGGAATATATCGCTTTTTATGTAAGAAATAGTTAAAAACTAAAACTGAATTTGCAAGTAAATCCAGCCATATCGCGTTTCGTTAAAGCATACGATGACGACCTGCTGCAAGCTACATTGCTTGAACTTCAGGTTTTAAGTTTTTTGAAAAGTTTGATGTATTTGGATCAAAATTAAGATAGCTTGCGTATAGTAATTCCATATTATCTCTTACAAATATAAAATCTGGTTAACAACAGTCCCTATGTGCATGGCTTTGAGTAATTTTTTCATATCGGAACAAATTCTTCGATAATTCAGTTTATTGGACAACTTCGCTGTCGAGTTCAATATTAATAACCAAAGTTTTAAAAATCATCGAATCGGAACAATTTAAATTGAAAAATTAAATTTTACCATGAGAGGAAATATATTCTCTTAAGAGAAAAGAGGACAGAAACTGAAGCCTCTACTTTCTCCGAAAGTGTGCTCACCTGTTTATCAATCGATCAAAAAAATAGGCTACGAAAAGACTTAAACTTTGACGAATAATTTAAATAGAAATTGTTTCCGAAAAACTTTCCTTTTAGCATTTCTTAAGAATTTTATTTTTATATGAATAATGCTTATCGGAGTAACAACTGTGAAAAGAATTTGTTTGTGAGGGGCACAAAAATGAGAATTATTTTGTTATTATAAGCCAAAGATTCGAATTTTTCGTTTTATTAGTTTGGCATTTTTTACATCACTTTTATTAAAATTTTCTAAAACTGGTTTTTCAATATATCCAAAAAGCACGAAGTAACTAAGGCAAAAATTCGTATAAAAATAATATAACGGGCGCAAAACAGTTTCACAGTAACTGGCATTGCCATTTTCTATTTTCGATATTTTTTGCATTAAAGTTTTCCAAACCCGATTTTTCAATATTTCCAAA